TAAGAAGACAAAATACCTTTTAGATAATGGCGGATTCTCTTAAAAAGAATGTGGAAACTGCACTCAGTAGAGCCTTATCTTGCTAAGGAATGTAAAAACTTGACATCAATTAAATGAAAAACACAATGCGATGAATGAAAAGTCAGAGTCCTTCTAGCTTCCTGTTTTAGAGGTTTATGGTCTTTACAGAAATTAATAATATGAGAAGTGTGCCTGACAGTAATAGTGGGTTTAGGATATATTGAAATTCTGTGACCGTCATTTCTATTGCCTGATGGCTACATATATGGATAAGTAAGAGTGTTCATTTTGTTTGAGTGGGCAGTTTTTGAAAACAGATGGAGTATGATGGAAAAGCTTACTTTGACATTTTCAAGGTAATTTTTATGTCCCCATAATGGAAGAATTTGGCATATAGCTTTTGATCCATTTGTCTGTCTGTTCATCTGTTAATGTTTCCTTGTTTGTTTTTTGAGAATATTAATCTTGCCAAAACACTTGCCTCACCTTAAATATTTCACCTGTATATTCCTTTTGACAAGACCTATGTTTGGGGTACATATTGTACCAAGTGAACATATTTGACCTCTTGACCTTGAAGTTTTACCAACTTTGGCAAAATTTAACTAAACTATAACCTTGGTTACAAGTTTTAAATGGATATAGTGCAAATGCTTTATATTTACATGTGTGTTCCATGTGATAAGATCTTTCTTAGGTTACCAGCACTTTGACCTCATGACCTTGACCTTTGAGGGGTTTTATTCTTGTATCACAGCCCTACACTGGCAAGTGGTGGCATTTTAATGTGAATGAAAAATACTGAAAGGTATTAATTAAAGAACTCCTCCTAAATGAATCCCAAATTGTTTTTCATTCTGCCAGGAATTTCTGAACTTTAAATCCAGTTATACTAATATATAGGAGTAGGGGTTATCTTTTTGTAAGTTCAGTACTCACAGTACCTCTAGTTTTGTTTGTATTTTAGAACTGCTTCACATTTATTGGTTGCAAATTTGATTTTAGAATACCACTATTGAGGGCATTAAGTTTCACAGCACTATGATTACCTTCTGGTACACAGTGCAATCAGTCTCAATCATTGTAGACGTTCCTTGTATTCATGGATTGGTAGCTTCATCAAGGAAAATTAAGTTTCAATGTAAATGAACATGGTAATTAATGGTAAATTAAGCTAATGAATTGTACTTGAAAAAGCTATACATAGAGTTTGGATGTAAACACAGGCAGCTGAACGAATTCGACAAAGAGTCTGCTCAATTCTGGCATTATGTAATGCCTCCATAATTTGACAAGCACTTTCAAAATTTTTTTTGGTATGCACAGAAAAAGTTTAGTTTACTTGAAGACAAAGTGGATAAGCGGGCTAGTTGGCATTAAATGTAGAGTTATCCAGTGTATGCTGGTTAAGATGAAGGGGGGAAGTGAGTTCAGTTAGCATTAAGGGGTTAAACAGTACTGTATACAATGAACATCCTCATCAAGGGAGACAACATGATGTTACAAGACTATATTTTACAGAATTTTATTTTACAGGATTAAATTTTAGTGAACTATAGAATTTACAGGACTATAGATTTTACAGGACTATAGATTTTACTGAACTATATTACAATCAAGCAATTTTTGACAGAGTTATGCCCCTTGGACTTAGAAAAATTATAATTACTTAGGGAAGGGGGGAGGGGGGCACAAGTGTTTCACAAACATATCTTCTTTGAGGTTTAATTTTGCTTTCCCTCTAATTCTCTTTGAGCACTTCCAATTTTCAGCAGAAAAGTCAGGTATTATTATGCAATAATATTTTATTTTATGATTCAAGCTAAAAAGTGCATGCAGGTGTTTTTCTTGAAAATAAAAAAATCTTGTTAGAAAGCCACAGAGTAGAGATGTCTGTGCCATGTAAACCAAGAGAACTGTTGAGTCATATTGTATGTATCTTCAACAAGGTCGACAAAACATAACGGCACATCACTCTGATATTAATAACGAGGAACAAGAAGCCTCTACCATTACACAGTATTACAATAACCAAAGCTAATTAGCATTATGAATGACTTCATATTCTCATATCATGCAACTAATAAGAATTATATGCAAAAAAAGAAAGAAAAGGGAATTACTCTAACATGTCTAATTAGGTATTTCTCTTGGCTTTGTTAGCTGTGTGGTTTTCCCTTCAAATTAATGACTATTTCTGTCTCTGTTATTTTATTGATAATAAATGCGATGCATGCAGATATATTGATAATTTGGATGCTGAATTTTGATGATTCACATCTCGCCCTGCAACAGTGAAGACTAGCACCTGATGATCAATGTTGCATTTGAGGTCACCCTAAATTGACAATAACTATTTAATGCCAGGGCACCTGCCCTCTCTCTTTTGAAATCTAATGGAAGGAGAACAAATTAATTCCTTGCAATCTGGGCTCATAACTATGAGCTGCACTTGTCTCTGATCATAAAAACTGTTGACTGTTTTGATAAAATCAGTGGCTTCTGAAGTGGCTGATTTTTTTTTTTTTTACGAGAGACTGCAATTCTGGGGGACACTGCGTGAGTCACCATGTGTCATCCATTAAAATCAATGGATCCCGAGATCCAGGTCATTGTTGGTCATTGTTGGACTTATTGGTCCAGCGTCTGGCGGTCAGTCTGGCCTATCACAAGTTCCGATCTTTATTGAACAATATTATTGGTAGGCATACACACTGGACAGACAGTGCCAGTATAAAATCAATTATTGGGTGCCTTGTTTTGCTATATTGAAGTGCAGTGATCATGAAGACTTGATCTTATAAGTCATCAAGTTAAATTCCCATCAGTTGAATATTTGCAAGCCTTTAGAAGAAAAAATTGCAGAATACCCTTAAATATTAACAAGGTCATGATTCTGTCAAAAATCATTGAAGCAGAACGAAATGCAAACATGATCTGTAATTCATGAAGATACACTCACATACCAAAACCCAGCTCAATATCTGCAAGCTTTTAGAAAAAAAAATGTGGAAAACCCAGTTAGACAGACTGACAGACAGATAGACTCAGGAGAAACCTATCGTCCCCTCTGATTTCATCTGTGGCGGTTAGCCAGGTTCAAATGCCAGTGGCCAGATAGCTAAGTTGGAAGACCACCTGACCAGAGATTCAGGGGGCCTGGGTTCGAATCCCAGAGTGGTCTGCTGCATTTTCTCCTCTCCCATTGCACATTAGTAGGGGACAAATAAAAGGATCAGCAAATTTTTTTGTTCAGAACAGGTTCATAATTGATATAAATTATATATTTAAGTTAGCATGAGATCAGAAATGTGACCTGACTATGTGCCAAGGTCTCTTAGGACATTTTGGACTGTTAAATATTTTAAGATCAAGTTCAAGGTCACAGGTTCATAAGAATAAGATGATTGTTTTTAATTACAACTTTGAATGGAGAAAAATTTGAAGCAAATATTAATTGTCAATCTGTGCATTGAGACTAAAATGGCCTGACCTTAACTCTTGGTGATTTGAAGAAGCTAGCTAGGTTAAGGTCTCTGATTTTAGAAATTTTGATTTGACCATAACTTTGAAATTAATAGAAGTTCTATCAGATTATTTTAGGTACAAAGATGGTTTGAACCATGATGAATTGTTTATTTGGACAAGATTAATTAAAGTCACTTGTTGAAGTGTAACATTTTAATGTCCATTATTTTGTAATGAAATAACCCAAGGAAATCATGCATGTTAATTGTGGTTGATTGTGGTCATAGAATGTGTTTAGACCTTTAATGAAGGGCATTTATAAAAGGATACAGTCACATTAAGCTTAAAATAGTTAATTTTTGAGGGACTGACAATTTTAGGATGATGAGGTGTAAAAACTGACAATTTCAAATTTAAAAAACAAAACAAAATTAATATGGTAGCCTTTCTGGAACAAATAATCAAGAAATTAATTTGTGAGGAATAAATTAAGTATGGTGTTTCAGAAATTATTTTTTAAAAAATCCTATATAAAAATATTTTTTTCTGGTATAGCCATAAGCCACAGTATAATTGACACCTAAATAATTACTCATCATTTTTTGATGTCTCAGTAAGGAAATTGACCCACTGACAGTTATGTTTTACATACAGCAGTCCTGGCCAGTTGGTGGTAGACAGGTCAAACTTCCTTCGCTAACCACGGCTCGTCCCTGCCCTGGCCCCGGCCCTCAAGTTGATCCATCATGTCTGACGCTGGTATTCGTGAGTGGTCAGTCCTCAAACCTAGATTTGTTTATGACGGTTGTTTACGTCCAATAATTTGACTTCTCTGTGTGACTTTAGACACATACTTGTATATGGATATTGTTTGTGGTTTTTTCGGGGTGACCTCTATACAAAGATTACTTACTATTCAGTTATGTGATCTTCCTCAGGTCTTGATGTATGCTTTTTCTGGTCCTGCTATGATTTCTTTCATTAAAATCACGGAATTGATATTTAGTGAAAAAAAAAAGTCAAAGCTTTCTTGATTGGAATTTTAATTTTCCAAATGTGATTGAAGGTCTTTAAATCTTTAACATGTGAGTATTAATTGTTCTGTATCAATAATTTTCTATTCCTAAACACCTTGTTTCTGCTGTGTATTTAAGCATTTTCAAAAGTCAATGTCATGTCCAAAAAAAGCAAAATATTTATCTGTGGTATTCAAACTAGAAGAATATACTGTAAATCAACTAAAATTTGTGCAGACTTTGTAAAATTGTGCAAAGCCATCTGCTCAGAAAAATTTAATTCTTGTGAACAAGTGTTTACTAGATGAAGATGAATGATAAAAGATAAAACAGCAACAGTGACCATGATGCTTGTAAACAAAATAAAGACATTTAAGTTAACTTTATTAATTCCAGATATTGAAGAAAGTTAATAATGTATATGTATGGGTATTATGGAGAAGGTATAGCCAATAATTATTTATGTACTGAAAGTTTTTTTTCTCTTTACTCTAGAGTCTGGATTCTGATGACACAGGAACAGTTCGCAGAAAAAAGAAAACTGTCGTGACTCCTAAAATGGCGATGGAGAGTTTCCGATCTTCATTTCTCAACACTGATGGTAAAAATATTTTGTCATTATAAATGCATTAACCAGTGATTATTGATACATATTGTGAAACCACTTATTTTCAGGGGGAGAGTGTGGGGGTTATTTCATTGTTTTTGTGGTATGCATTAAGAGATCCACAAATATATGTACAAGAAATGTAAAACTTTATTGACTAATGTATAACAAATCAGCACTTCTTCACCAACAAAAATCAAACATCCACAACCCAATATTTTAGGCCAAAAAAAATAATAGTCTTGTTTCCTGCTACCAGCCTGAAAAAAATAGGGTAGGTAGGTCGGAAAATTATTTTATTTTTTTATTTTTATTTTATTTTTTCCAGTGGTATTTTTTGGATATGAACTATTACAAAACCAAATTAAACAGGTCATTGGTCAATATCATCATTTAAAATAAGTAGTGTTTCATGCAAGTCCATATTTAAAACATATATATTTCATGAAATACCACTTAAATGTATATTTTTTTTTCACTTTTGGAGCATGAAATTTTCGATTTTCCCTCAAAAACTAAATAAAAACTTTAGGGTCTGGTGCAAAAAAATAGGGTAGGTCGGGTAGCAGGAAACAAGACTATTTTTATTTTTGGCCTTATCATTAAACCTTGAAAAATTGACCCCATGAAAATCTGAATTTACAATATAAACTGATATTTGGTCATGCTGGTGAAACAAGTAACACAAATCTATTCTGTGATCCCCTTTTCTGTCTGTTAATTCAATAAGATTGTCAGAAAGTCAATTACAGAAGAAGAAAATATTAGTTTATATAAGTTTTCAAAGTCAGCTATGGTCATTGAAAGGAAGAGAAACTGTTCACCAGTGATGGTATAATTTCTTAAACGGAACTGACTGGATGAATTTTAAGTGGGGAAAAATTGTTTGGGAGCTAGTGTAACATTGGGCAAAAATTATCCTCTATACAGTTGTAATGGTTTGGTCCGTGGATATGGGCCTGGATTTAAGCTTAGAGGGTAGAGCACCTGATCCAGCTATACACTTTCTCCTTTCCTGTTATAGATTTGGAGCCGTTGACCACCCCTGGAATTGCAGGTGAAAGTCCTGCCAGGGGGTTATAAGAACTTGGGTTGTGTCTTCGAGGTCGAAGACCATTTAAGGAGGGAATGTAATGGTTTGGACCATGGATATCGGCTAAGATAGCTCAGTTGGTAGAGCACCTGACTAGAGATGCGGGGGTCCCGGATTTGATTCCCGGTCCAGCCATACATTTTCTCCTTTCCTGTTACACAGTATTAAGTATTAAGTATTAAGTTAGAGATGGCAGAAGAATTTGAAAATCCATGTAAAAATGTAAGGTTAAGATGTACATTTATCATATGATTAGATTTGGTACAACTACATTTACTAAGAAAAATCCCCAACTAGCACAAATGTCAGAGGAATGTTATCCAAAGGATAAATAACAGTTTTTGTAATAAAATTCTTCAGGGTGGGTTCAGTAACATTTTTCTGGAACTGTTAGGTGCATTAGGTGTTTTCAGATAAGATAATTGGCACATGTAAATAACTTGAGGAAGTGTATGATTTAAATCTGATTACTTTGGAATTTTCCCTATGAAGTTATTAATCAATGTGCCAAAATTTGATTCCAGAGTATTGATTCTAGAACTCTGAGATGATCTCTTATAGTAATTGCATTGTGGTGGATCAAGGGTCTTGAAAAGGGGCAAGGTGCAGGGGCAGTTTGGGGTCAGGGTCTGGGCCCACAGCCACACCCCCAAAAAATTGATTTATTAAATATGTATATTTTGGACACAAAAGAAAGGGGTCTGGGTCACCTCTAAATTTGCCAGTGTTGCTTATACAGTGAAACCTAGTTTCTTGTTCAAGAAAGAGACATTAATTCTCTGTCGGATTAGATAGGGTGTCAAAAATCATGGATGATACAAAAATGGAAATGAAAAATAAAGGTTGATATTAACAGTGAAACAGATTACAAGATGTCAGATTAAACAGTTTATACTGTATTAAAAACTACAATGTTAGTGGGTTGTTAGTGAAATACAAATTGATCTGTTCTTGAAAATTGCTATAAAGATTTAGCTTCTTTTATCTTGTCAAGAAAGATAAATTTTATCTCTGATGCTCAATAAATTGTTAGCAATGTTCATTTTTGGCTTTCAATCAGAACAAATCCTGGCTAAAAATTCTGCTCACGTAAATTTTTCAGAATTTTTTTGAGAGGTGTAACATCTAATGTTTCATTGCTTGACAAGATTTGGAAAAACACTATTTTGCACTCTCTGTACTTATCTAGCCGATAGCTACATAGGAAACAATTCCAAGTTGTTTAAGTTCTAAGAGAAAAAGGAGCATAATCTTTGGATATATGTGAATGTATAAGTAAATTTTAAGGAACCTTATTATATATTGTACAGTTGTAACAGTTTAATGTATCCTACAAAGTCCATGCATGTCCACATGAACAGATATTATTCAGATTTTATACCAGTGATAACTCTCTAATTTCATGGATATAATTTACCAAGCACTGTAGTATTTACTTTTTTTATTGCTCCTATGTTAGAAATAGAGATGCTACACTGTCCAAAAATCTTGGGTTATAGAGACCGCCAATGAAGAAGTTTCTCAGAAAACATTTGTTTTAACAAGAAAATCAATGGACTTGTGATTTAGTTTCCCCTGGTCAGCGAGAGTCTGTAGACATATTGGAGCCCAACACTGGCAATATGTCCTTGTTTTTTAGTAGATCAATGTAGAGTACCAGAAAAAGAGTTATTCCATTTCAGAGAATTAACAAAGCAGGATATTTGCATTCTTTATTGAGATAAGGAGTTTGACCTTTCTAGTTACAAATCAGGAATGTCTTGGTTTGGTCAATGTCCTTGGATTTATACTTATAAAGTGAAGGTGGTGTGCATCTGTCTTAATTATAGTGATATATAGAGAAATTTGCCATCAGTAATAGCTAATAAACAGGATTTGTATGGTTTTGATGGATAAATCAATATACAATTAATTTAGATATGTAGTTAGATATTTAAGGTGTATATATTATCTGATTATAGAGCCAGGATTTAAAATTCTTTGCATTGTGAAATCCAAGACTACTGGTAAATCTTCCTATCTGGAGAGAGAGAGAGAGAGTCTGAGTTCACTGTGTTACATTAAATATTTATAAAGCATAAAGAAAAACATCCAAAAAATTTTTATCATTTGTAATTCAAGGTCATATTTGAGATGAAGGTTAAAAAACTTGGTAGTAGTGCAAAATCTTATTAGTAATTACGAAAAACATATAATCATTTAATGAATAAATCTGTAATTGACTGTTTTCAGTGTACCACAAGGCAGTATGAAATTTTTGCAGAGTGATGTTTTCTGCAATAATTGTCAGATCTTTGATGCATGCATTTGCTCTCTAGCAAAACAAAGTAAACCTCTAGGTATATAGTAACCTTCATTCCCTTTGTGAGTAAATTAGTTTTATCTGATTAACAGAGTGAGTCATTCATGAAATGTTCTTCTAATCAATTGATTTATGATGCTCAATGTACACAGAGCTAGGCTACTCAAAGGGAGCTGAATTATTAACAAACTTTTGTCAATTATGAACAAATGAGAATAATGTGTTTCTGAAATGAAAGGAATATTTGGACAGAGTGTTTTCATACTCTACTCTTGTTGCTTTGACAAGCATGCACATTGTTTAATGAGCATGTTACATGAGCAAGCAAAGTAAAGTGATAGCTAGCACTGTCATAAGAGTTAAAGCATGCTTGCCTTAAAAGTTTTGCACCCATGGGAAAGTTGATGCTCTTTAAATACATTGTAAACTTGATATTCTAGAGAAAAAAAGGCTGTTCTCTTATGTCTTTATAATATGTTTAAAAATTTGAAAAAGGGGAATAACTTTTAATATGAATGTATACTTATATTGCAAGGTATGAATAAATTAAATGTAAAAAATATCTTTATCTTTTGCATTAGTTTAAATTGCTTTCATTAACACCAAATTATGGATGAAATTTTTTTCCATTTTTTATTCTACAGAGAATCAAGATGTCAATCTGGATGCCATTTTGGGAGAACTTTGTGCCCTGGAATCGCAGCTCAGCTGTGCTCAGTCTGATCTCTACAGGCGCTCACAAGATCACCCCTCAGGACTCGCCAAAGATGAACATCGAGACAGCGGCAATGACCTCGCTCAGGCGGAACTCGATGCCCTCGCCTCAGAGATCACGCAGAGTCTGGCGTTCAGACACAGTCTGCCCTCCGACCATAATCACGATTTCATGCATGGGCAGTTCCTGACCAAACATGGCTCCTGTAACGATATTGCCAACGACAGTGGAGAGACGGACTCCGCTTTCTCTGAGAACGCCTCGCTTCCATCCTCTGAGTCCTTTACTTCTATGGTTACCGTGTCTTCAATGGCAGAGACGTACGCTCACCCTGACACTTGTAGCATGGTCAGCAATGCCAGCACCATCACCCCTCTTTCTGTGCAGGCATGTGAGGTAAATCTCCAGGATTCTGATTAGTGTAACACTTGTGTATTAAAATTAGGATGTGATTATCATAGTTTGAGAGCTTCCTGTAAAGGACTTTTGCAGTCAAATCTCATTGTCTAAAATTTGGTAAGATGAAAAAAACTTTCATCAAGATATTAAGGTTAGATTAAGAAATGGTAGTTGGACTTCCAATTTATTACATTCACCTATCCACGGTTTTTGAGAACTGAAGTTCAAGATACCAAATTTTAACTGTATAAGTAAGACATGTTCTGAGCAGCAATTAAGCTATGGTTGCTAAACATTCTGCAACAATTAACAAAAAAAGTTGAAATCTGAAATTGACAAATACAATTTTTCAAATGCTCAGTCATTTATACCCAAAAATAACGGAGCCTTTGAGGGCATATGTTAATATCAATCTCCATAGTGACTGATGGTTGTCATGGAAACTGCTTAACTCTCTCTCTCATGCTCCATTCTTCACAAAACGAATCCTCTGGTTGGCACTTTTAATCAGTTGAAGTTAATTAAGGAGACTCAAATAGTTACAACACCCCCCAAAAAATCAATGCCATGTAGAAACTTGAAATGGGTTTCCCAACAGTATTTAGCATGTGCTTCTAATTTTGAAGCATGCTAAGCATGGTTACAATATCTGCCATTGCCTGGACTTTATTTTTCCTGGTTTTAATTGTAAACAAGAGATGAAAGCAATTCAGATTGTTGAGATTAACTGCCATGTCGTTTTTTGTTGCCCCTGTGGGATGCTATTAACTTCTCTGTGATGTAATTTCTGATTGGGAGCTGAATTTTATACAGGCATTGTTTTCTTTTCATCTGTTGCAGAGGCTGGATGACTATATTGGTTAATTGACGCAATTCAGGGTCTTTTTTTTCTCTGTCAGTCAATTGTTCTTTTAGATATGCTAAAAGCTTTAGCAAGAAATGATGTTATTGAAATTTTTTTCTCTGCTTTTAGTTCCAGGGAGAGGAAAATGAAGCCAATATAATAGTATTTGTTTTATATGTGCTATTAAATTAGATTGATATGAAGAGGAATAAAACATGACACATTCAAAAATTAATTTTTTTCACCAAGTCAATTTTGATCTTGTACAGATTACCAACATGACAAAGCAATTTTCTGGCCTTGGTAACATAAAGTTCAAGGTCAAGAAAACTCAAGGTCAGATAGTCACCCAAAGCCAATTAAATGTGAGATCAGTTTGCTCATAATATTTTTTTAATGAGTATTGGTTAAGTTAATACTGCAATTGAGTATTGTTTTATGGCAGTTATTCAATGCTGGCTTTTAAGGGCATCTGTTTGGATTGGCTACTGGTACTGGGTGACTCAGTATTGAGTGTCGATAAATTAGGGGTTGAGCACCTTAATTGGAGCATCTCATCAGCAAGATTATGTAATCTGCTGAATATTTCCTGAAAAATTGATATTTGATTGTTTCATATTGGCAACTTCATATCTCCTGCTGAGTAGTTTTATGGATTTCAATCAAACTGTTCCATTGTGAAATCCAGTAGTCTTTTGTGGCCATGGTATATTTTTGGTGCACTTTAAATGTTTCCAGTATAGGACATCTGTCTCAACTGACTCCGTTTTTATAGCAGAAGTTGAACCTCAGATTGCTTATTCCAAATTAATTTTAGGTGAACAGTTAATTAGCTCATATTGAAAATGTTTTAAATATATTTTTTTACCATTACTTTCAAGTAGTAAATATGTACCCCGTAAGATATCTATATATAATAATATTTTTTCCATATACTATGTTTTTGCCTACTTCGTAAAAGAATTTTTGTCTCAACATAATTATGTTGAATACTTCAGAGGATATACAGAGGTCTCAGTTATAAACAATGAGATTGACTGTATTTTCAGTTGCAGAAGTTTTCACTATAACCATGTTTAATGTAATCGTGTTAGAGTATAGAAGGATATTATTTTAGCATGTCATATTGACTATTGCCCCTTTCTTTTTTTTTCTCTAGATGCATGCTCTTCTTACATCACACCTAAGTCTTTATGAAGAAGAACTCACCAAAGAGAATTACTCAATAGTAAGTGTGCTTATTTCCGAGTTTAAGGTTCAAAAACCCTCCACTCAATTATAAAATTGGTTGATTTGACTCGGACTATTTTTCAAAAAAAAATGTACAATATTTTTAAATACAGACAATTATAGAATAGTTTGTTTTTTTTAAATTTTGCCCCATAATTGAAAAAAAAAGCTGTTTCAACTAGATATTTATGTCCTTAAGAGTTATCTCTCTTAGCAGGGTATTGATGAACCTTAAACAAGTGACCTCATTGACAATTTGTATTGTATGAGACCTGGATAATTATGGATAAACTTGAACTGATTGTGTCATACAGTGACACAAAATCTGAGCTAGAAATTACATATGATGTCTTTTTGAGTACAGTGAAGTTTTTTGTACACTTCAGACAAACTGAAAACACTTCAAAAAAAAAAATTTTTAGACACTGCACACATATGTGCCATTAGAGTATTTAACACTTATTCATCCTCTTAAATATAGTTAAAACAAAAGTACAAATTAAACCAACATATATCTTTTTGAATATTTTTGATAGTTTTAATGAAAAAAGTCTATGATTATCAGTACACATGTGGATCGCTGTTTGATATAGTATATATTGTCACATGACTTTGGTCATGAAGAATCCAGTAATGAGTCAGATGGACTGGGAAAAGGGGTATAGGATATAATCTATGATATAATATAACAAGCTGCATATATATGGTAACCCCCCCCCCCCCCCCCCACACACACACACACACACAAAGGGATTAAGGCCTAACTAAGAGAATGAAAATAATTAATGCAAGCGTTCTTCATTTCGTGTTTCACTGATTTGTGCACATAAAATTCACCACACTAAGATTTATGTTAGGTAATTAAGGAAATGCTTGATACATAAAAATCAGATGGTACCACCTTCACTTTATACACAGTTTTCACTTTAATTAAATGTCATTTAAGCATGCGAGGTGGAAACTTAAACTTTAATTGTCAAGTAGAAATGATTAATTTTCATTTTTTAATGTCAACAAGAAGAGCTTATGCGCATATATGTAAGTCTGTGTCTGTCTGTAAACAATTTTTCAAAACGCTACTCCTCCTACAATTTTAGTCTGATTTCAATATAACTTGGCACACAAGTAGACTACACTAATATAGATAGAATAGTGCATCGGTTTTTGATTTCGGTGAACGGTGTTGCCATGGTTACTAAAAATAGAATTTTCTGTGAAATTCCTTTAAAACGCTACTCCTTCTACAGTTTTGGTCTGATTTCATTATAAATTGGCACACAAGTAGATTACACTAAGATACATAGAATATTGCATCGGTTTTTGATTTCGATGAACGGTGTTACCATGGTTACTAAAAATAGAATTTTCTGTGAAATTCCTTTAAAACGCTACACTCCTAAATTTTAGTCTGATTTCAATAACTTAACACACAAGTAGACCACACTAAGATACATAGAAATTGCATCGATTTTTGATTTACGGTGTTGCCATGGTTACTAAAAATAGAATTCTCTGTGAAATTCCTTTAAAACGCTACTTCTTCTACAGTTTTGGTCTGATTTCAATATAACTTGGCACACAAGTAGACCACACTAAGATACATAGAATAGTGCATTGGTTTTTGATTTTGGTAAACGGTGTTGCCATGGTTACTAAAAATAGAATTTTCTGTGAAATTCCTTTAAAAGGCTACTTCTTCTACAGTTTCGGTCTGACGCCACACACACACACAAACACACACACAAGTAGATTACACTAAGATACATAGAATAGTGCATCCGTTTTTGATTTCATGAACGGTGTTACCATGGTTACTAAAAATAGAATTTTCTGTGAAATTCCTTTAAAACGCTACTCCTTCTACTTTTAGTTTGATTTCAAAATAAGTTGGCACACAAGTAACTACACAAAGATACATAAAATAGTGCAATGGTTTTTGATAAGTACAAACCAGTAGAGCTACAGTCTCGACAGAGACTTCTGGTTTCTTCTAATCGCAGAAAAGTGTGAAATGTATTATCTAACTTTTTAAGTGCACATTTGCAATGCCCCAGTATTGTTCATCCTTCGCACAGTAGCCATAGATTTTTCGACATTTTTTAGAAGCTGTAGAGTGTATAGTAAATGCTGATTATTTTCTGCGGATGAGTGAATGTTCATCAGACTTTTAATCAGTTTCAAATTAGTATAGGAATTCTGTTATCGAAAACGTGTTACAAACATGAGAGATATTAGATGAAAAAATAAACAGAAGGAATGCGTTGTTAGTAAGATGATTTAAATATTTACAGCTTAATAAGGGTTCAAGGATGTTACATGAATGCTGCTCGTTAATCATAACCAAAGGTCAGGTAGAAGTTCACATATCGTCAAGTAATGCTGACTTAGCTTATACAATGTCGTTCAGGCCTAAAATGTTTAAAGAAAAAATTATTGGCGTAAGCAGAAAATATTTTATATATGAGTGCACATTTTTAATTTTTGCTGGAAAAAAATCCACTTTGTGCAAACCATGAAAATTGCCTTTATTGTCCTCTCCCATTAACAAGGTCACTTGATTTAAAATAGATTTTTTTAAAAAAAATTGTTTTTGTATCTATGTAACATTTTTTAAAACTACACAATTAAGTTTAGTTCTAATGGTTCTAGGTTAAAGAGTGAAAGTTGTCTTTTAATTTACAGGAAGAACATAAAGCCAAGCTACAAGCTGAGAAAATTCGGATTGCGCTGGAGAAAATAAAGGAAGCAAAGATTCGCAAAGTAAGTTTTCTACAAGAACAGATGGCATCATTTTTACGAAAATGACTACAAAAATGACTTGATGAAAAAAAAAATTAGTCTGTGATAATCGCTGGCTCTGATAGTGCAAGGAAAAATAGAATAATATATACAATTTGATCCATGTATCTGATTGCGAATATTCCTCTTATTTGACACAGTGATGACAATCGAGATTAAACTAAAGCATATGTTGTTCCATGCATACCACTGATAGTTTACTGCAAATATTTATTGAATGCATGCTTATGAAATTAATTTTCTAATTTATCACTACTTCTGCAGAAAAATTTTAGGGTTGGGCATGTTTTAAGAATTTAATTGTAGAGGAATTTCGGGGGTTGATCATATTTTAGTTCTTTTTCTAAAATTATGGACATATATTGTACATTCATATGAAGGTCAAGTTTCCAACATTTTTTTTTTTCACACAGTTGTTCGTGCGAGCGTTTGGTAAAGATGGCAGCAGTAAGAGTATACTTGTGGACGAGAAGATGTCCATCTCAGATGTGTGCAGCATACTCGCCGACAAAAATCACATACGACTCAATTCCAAACTCGCAGTCATTGAGCACATGCCAGAGTTACTCATGGGTAAACACAATGTATTTACGAAAAAAAACTGGATGATTATGTAATTTCCAATGTACTATACAAAAACCTGATCCATTCATGATTTTTTAATTTTAATTTAAATTTAAAGACTCAGAATGCATTAATAAAACAAATGGATAATTTAAAATGGATTTACATGTACTTTCCAATGTCAGCTTCCACAAATACGTGATTCATTCATATATACATTTTTTTAAAAAATAAATTGCATGCCTCAGAAGGTGAAAAAAAAAAAGTGATTTCAGTCATCAATTTCATGGTAAGAAGTCTCCATTATTGTGTGCCCAAGGCAGTGATTTAAAAAAGGAAACTATTGATTTAGTATATTGCACTGTAAAATCTTTTACTTTTTCTGAGTTATCTGATAGCTGCCTTAGTTTCATGAGAACTGATTGATGTAATTCTTGGAAATATTGATTGATTCTCAGTTTAAAATTTTTCACATCAAAAGGACCTATTGATTTGTTATTAAGAGAGAGGGTCTGTGGTCCTTTCTCACTTGTTAAATTATTCTGTGTGTTTAAGGGGAAAAAAGTAAATTAAAACATATAGCGACAGATTTAAATGTGTACAACACAGTCCTGTAATAGTGTAGCGAGACCAAAGTTGGACAACTTATGTCTTAATTAAACTTTAAGAGCTTGTAGTGTATTTAGTTTTCTTTCTGGAAATACATAAATCTTCCTTATATCATTATATCAATGCTTTACAAGAAAATTCTACTTTGTGTAAAATTGTCTGAGCAGATCTAGAGGGGGAGGGGGGGGGGGGTGTCCTGTATTAAATGCATGAAGTAAGTCAAGTAAAAGTGACCTTGAAAACACACACACACCCTCACACACACACCCTACCTAGATCCGTGCCTGAATTATTACAACTCAAATTTATTGAGACAATTGCAAAATAATGTGAAAAATTGAACAGATAAGTACTAAGATAAAAATTGCAGAAACTTTGCAGAAATGTAGAAAATACATGTAGTTGTAAAGATTAATAATTAAGTAACATCTGTTTCAGAGCGTATATTGGAGGACCATGATACGCTGGTGGAGAACATGGTCATGTGGACAAGAGACACTCATAACAGAATATTGTTTGAGGAGAGAGAGGAGAAGAATGATTTATTTAGGCATCCAGAGGTAGATATTTACTTATTATGATAATCCTGTTATTGTAATAATATGAAGAAGACATCGCTTAATTATTGTATTAAATCTGTTATTGTTATAACATGGATATTGTAAATAATTTTTTTTTTTATTAATTATAATGTATTGTTAAAACAATAATTTTATTATATACACTGTAATTTTATTTATCATGAACTACAAAACAAAATTTATCTTTTTTTTAATTCTGAAATCTTATTTAGAAGATATATCTTTCCGTGTTTAATTGAAATCATTGTTACTTTCGATATATAACAGAAATATTTGCTGATGAGTTCCTCTTCTGAGAAAGGTGCTTCTCTTGATCCTGGTAGAAGACACAAGCTGATTATGGTAAAAATACACCTCTGATTTGGGGTTTGATATAAACTATGATGAAACATCTGATTTTATCTTTTTATTGCAAATTAATTTGATGCATATTTAAAAAAAAAATAAAATGTAAGAAATACAAATTTAATAAACATTTCATCTTTCTGATATTGAAAGAATATGGTTTTTTCCCCTATCCCAACAAAATGAGTGACTATTACAGGAGTTCTTTGGTGGGGGAGGTAGACAAGTTCCAGAAGTTGAGGGAGTGATGTACCTTAAATCCGAGGGTAAAAAGGCCTGGAAGAAATACTTCTTTGTGCTGAGGTCCTCGGGTCTGTACTACAATCCAAAGGGTAAAATTAGCAAGGTAGGCTTCTATTTCAATAGTATTATCACCATATTTCAAATATGATTTGTACAGTAAAAACACACTTAATAATGAAATGAAATGCCAGGGATGGACAATTTTGCTTCTTTTAAAGCATAATATTAGTTATCCAGGTTCATTCAAGGGTTTATGGGGATAAACCCCGGGTTTTATTCCATACACCCTCGGGGCTATCCCCGTACATCCTTGATAAGACTTGGATAAGGAAGTCATTTCCTATGTACCTACAAAAACTCTTTGTAAACATTAGAGTCTTATCAACTGTGTCTCAATCAATAAGATAACTACTTACTACAATGCATCGTGATGTCATTTTATTTGGGTTTTTATCTGGAGAAAGTATGCATTGTGATGTCATGTTTTATTTACCCCCAAGCTCAAGTTGGGTGTATGGAAATTAACACCCGACTCTGTAACCAATTAAAGCTTGTGTTACAAGCTACATAGGGAATAATTAATCATATACTTTAAGTTTGTGATATACCGTATAAGTAGAATTTTTAGGAAGGATTTAATTTTGGCATTATTAGCGAGGGTGCTGACATCGCTAAAATTGAATATCGCTAAAAATTAATTGCGTATTATTTGTAATAGCTTCTTTACTTAGCATTTTAAAATTGCTAAAAGTACTCCTTGCTAAAAATAAAATACCAAATTTTAGGTAGAAATCGCTAAATTTGCGTCTCGCTAAAATTTCCACTTAATACGGTATTTTAAAGTCATAGGGAATGAAATCATTTTGCAGCTTCAAGTCATAATAAGCATGTACGCTTTATGTGTGTTTTGATGCAGTACTGAAAAAAGTTTGATAAAATTGTAGTTTCAGAACATGTTTCACCAATAGTCAAAACTCAATGATATGCTGCAAAAGAGATTGTGACAAAGTCATAATTGAATCTGATATTTTGCAGGCATCCAAAGATTTAGTCAGCATGGTGAACTTTGATTTTGTGGACGTTTACCGAGGGCTTGGTTGGAAGAAGAAATACCATGCCCCCACAGATCACTGTTTTGCTCTAAAGGTTAGAGGGACTGTAAAATTGTATACAGTAAACCAACTTTTATTTGCGACGACATTATTAAGCGATTTACTGGAAGTTTTTTGTGGTTTCGTGAAAAATAATGGGTTCATGGGTATTTATGAAATTATACATTTGGTGGTAAACATAAATCCACGAGTCTCTTCATAACTCAAATACAACAAGAATTAAACCCAAGGAAAATTTATAATTTCACAATAAAAGTGGAAAAAAATTGCATTGATTAAGGTGCAGTTTTGCATATCCAAGCTCTTTGTATAAAATCTTTTTGTTATACATTTCAGATTTTATTTAAGATGTTAAAGTATTGCTGTATTAAAAAGCTCATCCTGTATTTCTAACTACCTCTATTTGACATTTTTTTAGCATCCACAAATCCAGAAGAAAACGTCTAAGTATATTAGGTACTTTTGTACTGAAAACAAGAATGCTCTGGACCAATGGATTATGGGTATTAGGATCGCCAAGGTAACAGACATACTTCCTCCTTAAAGCAATAAATGTACATGTACATATTTATTTTAATTTGTCATTTCTGAACTATAAGGAAATTTTTTGAGAATGAGAGTTATTTGGAAGTACATGTATATGTAAGATAAATATTTCCTTTTGTTTGTTTTGCCATTTGGCTTGAGAATCTTGATTATCAGTTTTGTTGGGCTAAAATATATTGTCTCGTGACCAAGGACTAACTACTTTACAAATGCATCCTGGGCACTTCTTAACTTCCGAGATACTCAAGGCAAATTTCCTGTGGAGAAAAAAACGTATATTGTGCATATATATATAAGTTCCCCATGACACATTTTCTAGTGTCATAATTTGTCATAGTGTTGGCTGTGTTTATTTAGTATACTCTTAGATGTTATCGCACAGTATTAGTCTCATGGAGGAAAGTTTATGAGGATATGTATTAGGAGTTTTCATCAGAATATTTCTAGGAAGATTTGCTGAATATAGATCAAAGGTTTGTACAATATACTAATGTTGATGAGATCTAATCGAGAATAAACGGGGATGTCCTCTCGATGGTACACTCATGTTTTTGTTGTCGTAATGTCGAGCCAGATTGAGGAAGATAAGGATTGATACGGTCTACTCTGGATAGAAACACTTGTAGTCATATTGCACGATTTCCTGAAAGGATTGTCTAATTCTGCCTGAACAAAAAGACTTGTATCATTAATAGTTCAGATAGGACACTTTTGTTTTTTTGCCAAATATTATGATTATGTGACAAATTTACACGTCCATTAACAGTGGATTAATTTTTCCATTCTGAAAGGGAGAGGGCTATTTTGCTGTTTCTCCGGAGCTAACCAGTTTTCATTTGGAAAGTTTTATTTTAATACATGGAATATCTAGAATCTAGCTGTGGGTGTTGTTCATCTAAATAATAATCTCATTGTGCTGGGTGATGTCTCTATAAGAGTGAATTAATCATCGTTTTAGTAGGATGACGGATGCAGATTAGTGTGTGTGGTTTATGTTAGGTGTAAGATTGTGAGCAAATTTCAAGGATGGCGACTGAAACGGGTGAAAGACAGAGGTGTGGGATGAGCTGTTGAAAGTGATGAGGATGTTTTGAGAATCAAGTGTGTAATTATAAAGACTCAGTTGTTAGACATACTCAAGTTAGTATTATGACTGGATAAAAGTATTTTTCTACCTTAATTCTTGTTTTTAATTGAGCTTGAATTTTTAGACCCAGGCTCTTGTTTTCATTTCCTCTTGAGAGAAAATGTTTCCCTTTCCTTGGCCTATTGCACTATTGAAAATTTTATTGCGATTCTTAATAGAAATTTTTAGAATTTTTTATTTGATAATGTTGAAGTGTGAAATTGTTGGATGATGTATTTAGTAGCATTTAATCTTTCTCTTTTTTCAGAGGTCAGAAAGAGAAAATAAATTGATTGTCTTTTATTTTCATTTCAGTATGGCCACCAGTTGTTGGATAATTATGAAAAACTTCGACATGAAATTCAAATGTGGGATTATCGTGAAATGCGCAGTAGCGTGTCTGAAGTATCAAGTGAAGCACTAGAATTAAATCCGGATGTGAAAGACAGTCGACTGTCTATGCCAGAGCCTAGATCCAGGAATTCATTAGTGTATGTACAAAACTCCAGTTTTACGACCCACGGTAATGTGTTAGAACATTCAGAGGATCTAGTGGGACCAGAATCGCAAAAAACAACACTCAGCAGTCAGAGTTCACTCGAACTGCCACCGAGCGGTGGACTGCAGAAAACTCATACTAAACGTGTGTCATTCAGTAATACTCCCAGTGTGATTAACGCAGACTCAGACACCGAGATGAGGGTCAGACATCGAGATTCCATTACGAGCGCCTCCACGGATTCCAGCGAGGACTCGACCTCCAGTGGTGAGAGCAGACACAGTGCTAATTCATCGGCTTCTCGTGGGAAATTCCGGGCCAAACTTCCTGTGACCACAGGAACCACACGTCAGATTTCTGAAATGGTGCAAGTTGCTTATGAAGGAAGTTCAATTTCTTCGTGTGAGTCAGACACTCGAGCCGGTGGTCATGAGAGGAAATCTTCTCTAGTGAAACACGGCGAGAAGGAGAAGTCAAGATCTTCTGGTCATCGACACGAAAGGAAAAGTTCTGATGGAAGTATAGAGAGAGAATATCGCACTCTGAAGAATGTGTCACCTCAACATACTCTGTCACATCGAGCCCCGCCCTCACCCCCTCCCCTGAAGTGTCCACTCAATTACCAAAGTATACAGGAGGATGAGGAGGTGTGGCAGAGGAATGAGAATTTTGTCCCCACCAGCACCTACCCCTACCATCCACCCCAACAAATACCAGGCCAAATGTCAATGCATAAAATGCCCATGTCTCCCCAGCTTCCAAGGGTGTATTCTGATCCTTCTCAGGAGAGATGCATGTCTCCTCCTCCACAGGAGAGGTTCAAGTCCCCTCCTCCTCCCTCTCACAGTAGGATCATGTCTCCCCCATCCCATCACAGAGTGCTATCCCCCACTTCAGCCCCGACAGATCCTTGGGAATATCGAACTGACCTTCCTCCCCCTCCAGGGGCTATGTTCTCTCATGGCGAGCCTGGAGGCAGGCCACAGGGATTGGGATCACATACTTATCAAGAGCAAAGGCTCTCTAAGCACACTGTGGCAGCCCCCAAAACTGTATCCCCAAAGGTGCCTCAGAGCTTGAGTCAGTCACCTCCTCCACCCATGCCACCCCCAGCACCAATGGCAAAACCTCCCTCCCCTGGGGCTTTACCATTTCACCCACCCCCTCTCACCAGCCTCTCCAACCCCATGTTCAAGCAGGCTAATGTTTTATCAGAGGAGTGTGACAGTAATGCATCTTCTCCTTGCCCCTCAGAATCTTCACCCACCACTCCTAGGAGTATGCTGGCAATGCCCCCTGCTATGCCGCTTTTACAAAATCAGTATGTTAGCTTACAGTCAGGTGCCATGAACCTCAGTAAAGCGCCTCAAAAGTCAGGACCAGAGGTTGCATCTGATCCACCTATGTCTCCTATGTCTGCACCCCAGCCTAGCCCCCCTGCTGGGTCCATGGCCTCCCCATCACCTATGAGCCAATCAAAATCACAGAAAAACTACCCACCACCTTTGTCTTGTGGGACCACAAGGTCATCGGCCAGCTCAGGGGTGATGTCCCCTGTAAGTCCCATGTCCCCCGCCCTAGTCCAGTCACCTCAGATGAGGAACAGTGCACACGGTTATGAACATTTTGATCAGGTCAGAGTGAGGCCAGGGTCACAGGGGAGTAGGGGATCTACGGGGAGCAATATGTCAAGAACTTCATCCGGAGGATCTGTCAACTGCTATCCACCCCCTCCTCCAAACCCTGGGGCTCAGCCCATGTCCCCCAGATTAGATGACAGTGGTAAATCATTGCCGTTTTTGGATGAATTATCAAAACGATCTAGTACTGGGCCTCCTAAAAAGGTGCCTCCACAGACATTGCCTAAACCAACAGAAGGGGGACATAACTCAAACATGCAAAATATCAATGGTGCTACAACTACACTGACTAATGGGGTCACCCCACATAACCACAAGCCTGAGGGGGTCAGGCCAAATAGTGCTCCCATCAAGAAGGGGGTGCCACCACCCCCTCCCAAACGCAGCGAAACTACAAGACTGTCATCAGACGTATCTAAAGTGAAGGACCAAGATAATGTAGTGCCAAGTGTTCACGATTCGTCGATATATGAGAACTCTCAAGAGTGCGAGGGGATTATGGACATTAACGATCTTCCCCCACCCCCTCCCGAACTCTTAGCGGGTCTAGCCAGTGACGGTAATGTCAAGCGGGGTAAACCCCCGCCCCCTCCTCCAAAACGAAGTCGTGAAACTCATTTATCACAACAGACATGATGTAAGGATTCTGTGTTTTAATTGTATTTTTTGAATGTTATATGATAATTGTACTCTCCACCTGCATAAAATGTGAAATAGAGTAGATATGTATGATGTTAATGTTTGTATTTTAAAGATTAGATCTTTGAAAAAAAGAGAAAAAACAGTTCCATTTTTTGATTTTATGAAGAAGAAAATGTTGGCTGTCTTATTTCTTTTTTAAAAGAGAGGGTTGTATTTTTATACTTCCATTTTAACAGATATAATTGTTGAATCACTTTGTTGGTAAACATTTGATGCTAACTTTTAAAAATTCCTGTTTTATGAATAATTTTGTTTTGACATGGTTGGAAAGCCAGTGTTTCATTTTATTATGTATTCTTAAAAGAGTTCAGACAAATCTGTTCGGGGAAAGTTTAAAAAAAAATCAAAATTACAAATATCTGAAATCAAGAAAGAGATATTGCCGTCTAAATCAGTACACATGTACCATGCAGTTAAGTGCTTTTGTTTTCTATGTGTTGTGGAAAGTTTTGTGGTTATATATAACTATAATTATATACTTCAGTGTCTCAATCAAAATGAATTTTGTGGCATCTGTGTGCTTTGATCATATTTTTGTGAGTGTCTTCTGTTTAGAAATAATACAGAAATGCAGGATGGGACAAAAAGTCTGCTTCAAATATAATCAATACATTTGTATACCTATAATGTACAATGTATTTATGAGGTGATCAAACTATTTTATACTGTTAAGTCTAGTCATTAATTTGCCATGTTTTTACAGAAAATATAACTGTATGAAGAGAAATTGCCAATATCTTAATTATGATGAAAAAATATCAATGATTAAAATGCTTCACTGCATATTGAAGGAATAGACATTATTTCTAAAAATATCCATGATGATATGAACAAGTAGACATAAAGTAAGTTCTTTTTTTTTGGGGGGGGGGGGTGCAATTCCCTGACTTCTTGTTGTGTCCCCCCTTAGTTATTGCTTTACTTTTTTAATCAGCTCAAGCTGTTGCCATGACAACCCTCAGTGACCAGTATTGTAATTGCAGCCCCTGCTATAAAACTTTCAAACCTTCAAGGCTTTACTTGTGGAGTTTGTACAAAGGAGGAACTATTTTAGAAGAACATATACTGTGCTTTTACAAAAAGCAACATATTATGCAATATTTCTTTTTATATCTTTGTAAATTTTTCTGAGTGGAAGTTAATGGCTGTTGAACAAAAAATGAAGTTAGGTAAACATGTTATAATTTGGTGCAGTTGATACAGTATTAAATCATTATATTATCAGTCATATCATATAAAACTTTATAGATAAAAGTCAATTGTAGAGTTATAAACCACCTTAGATCGCCAAATTCAATATTGCTAACAATGCATTTACTTATTTAAGGTTATTGTTTTCTTTTTAGACATCAAAAAATCATTGAAGTTATTTCTTGCTAAAATTAAATACCAATTTTTTCCAGTAAAAATGGCAACCACTTGGTTTGAAGTCTTTTTTTTTTTTTTTAAAAAAACCTTAATACACCTCTTTAACTTTCAAGTTCTTAAAAATGAGTCAAAAATGAGTGTGCTATATTTAATCATGATTTTCATTTTAAGGGTTTTACTTTTTACAGTTTATTTTATATCATCATAAACTTTGAAATTTTTCACAATCACTTTAACAGCCCAGTGCTTCATTCATTTCTAAGATATCAGAAAATTGACACCAAATCATGAAATTCATGTTGATATTTTAAAAAAAAATTGTGGGGGGGGGGGTTAAAGTAGACAAATAAAGAATTGATCTTTATGCAGGTTTAATTTAAAATAAAACCAAGGGTAACTGGTTGTCATTTATACACATACCATGGTAATACCAAAGCTGATTGTGAGTAGAAACGCTGTCCTTTATTTTTGAGAGCTTTTCTCAAGTAATGTTCCATAGTTTGATTGGCATAATACATAAATCTGTCTCTATCAACAATTTTTAAATATTCATTTAAACTTTCAAGTTGAATTTTTACATAATTTTTTTATTAAGGAAAAGAAACAACATAATTAATTTTGTGTTACAAATTGACAGGAAGATTTTGTACAGGGTTTGTGCAATAATAAACATTGTGCATATAAATAGATGATGTTTTTGTTTTCATTTATACATTTCATACCCCATTAGAAGAACTCTGGAATCTAGAACACTAATATCTCAAATGTAATGAGTGTGTCCTAGCGATGAGAAGTCCCAACCTCTAATACTGTATTACTATGCTGCTGTCTGTCGGTTGGTCAGTCTGTCTGTGTATCCACCAAGTTTCCGTTCATTTTCTTTGCAGTGGTTGCACATAATTATTGAAATGAAATATGGTAGTACAGATTTTTCATAAGAATATCTAGGTCAAGTTTTAATTTGGGTACCATGGAGCCATTTTAGACAAAGTTTTCCCCCTTGAAATTGGAAAAATTCCAATTATTTGCAGTTTCCGTTCATTTTCTTAGCAGAGGTTCGAACTACATGTACTGAATGATATTTGGAATACAGATTTTTCATCAGAATATCTAGGTTAAGTTCTGTTATAATTAGTATTAGGTATGATGGAGCCATTATTGACAAAGTATGCCCCATGGTTTTGGAAAAATTCCAGTTATTTACAGTTTCTGTTCATTTTCTTTGCAGAAGTTGAACATACTAAAATGAAATTGGTACAGTATACAGATTTTTCAAAAGAATATTTAGGTCAGTTTCTGTTTTGGGTGCTATCGAGCTATATTTGACGTTATTCCCTAGACTTAGAAATATTCTTATTAGTAGGGAGAAGGGGGCATAAGTGTTTCACAAACATCATTTTTTAATAAGTATTTAACCCCACAAAATATCAAATACTTATTTTCTCATAGTGCCATCAAGTTTGAGAAAACTATATGTAAGTTTAACTGTGGGGTAGATTCAGGCATAGCCTGATCAAATAATGACCCCTGGGGGTAGAGTGGGGCTGCAATGGACAATCAAAAATATACATAGTAAATTAAAAAAAAAAATTCTCAAGAACAGAAAAGCCATGGTTGGTCATTATTTACTTGAATATGGAAGCATCCTCAGGCAGTGTAGATTCAGATTTGTTCAAAAAATGACCCCAGGGATAGGTTGGCACCACAATGAAAGTTCAAACGGATATATGTAAACCTCCTTACCCATATCGAAAATAAATATAAAAATAATAGATTAAAATAATACAAAAATAATACAAAAAAAGTATATTTTTAATGACCAAATTTGGAACCCTTTTTATCTTGGTTCCAAATTAGGTCAAAAATAATACACTTTCTTAGAAATGAAACACAAAAAAATATATTTTTAATATACTTTATTTCTCAGTAAAAATACAAAAATAATACACTTGATGTATTTTTTCTGTACTCTTGTATTTTTTCTGTATTAAATCCTTATCCAAAGTACAAAAATAATACAATTTAGAGAAGAACTAAAAAATACAAAAATAATATAAAATGTATTAATTTTGTATCAGTCTATTATTTCTGTATTATTTGGAGCACCTTGAAAAAAAAATAGGAAAATAATACAAAATGTATTAATTTTGTATCAGTCTATTATTTCTGTATTATTTGGAGCACCTTGAAAAAAAAAATAGGAAAATAATACAAAATGTATTAATTTTGTATCAGTCTATTATTTCTGTATTATTTGGAACACCTTGAAAAAAAAAATAGGAAAATAATACAAAATGTATTAATGTTGTATCAGTCTATTATTTCTGTATTATTTGGAGCACCTTGAAAAAAAAAATAGGAAAATAATACAAAATGTATTAATTTTGTATCAGTCTATTATTTCTGTATTATTTGGAGCACCTTGAAAAAAAAAATAGGAAAATAATACAAAATGTATTAATTTTGTATCAGTCTATTATTTCTGTATTATTTGGAACACCTTGAAAAAAAAATAGGAAAATAATACAAAATGTATTAATGTTGTATCAGTCTATTATTTCTGTATTATTTGGAGCACCTTGAAAAAAAAAATATACAAAAAAATTTTGTATCAGTCTATATTTCTGTATTATTTGGAGCACCTTGAAAAAAAAAATATGAAAATAATACAAAATTTATTAATTTTGTATCAGTCTATTATTTCTGTATTATTTGGATTGAAAAAAAAATAGGAAAATAATACAAAATGTATTAATTTTGTATCAGTCTATTATTTCTGTATTATTTGGAGCACCTTGAAAAAAAAAATAGGTAAAGAATACAAAATGTATCAATTTTGTATCAGTCTATTAAATTAAAATCGATTTTAAAACAAAAAAAATCTAAAAATAATACATTCTGAAAGATACAAAAAAAATACATTTAGGAGTTCAAAAAAGGTACAAGAATGATAGGAAAAAAGTACATAAAAAAGCTTTAAATAATACAAAGCAGTGCCTAGAAAAGTACTAAAAACGTGAAAAACTTGTTCTTAAATGCAGCTTTCAATCAGATTTTAAAGAGAAATGGCTTTAGATTACTGATTTAGTTACTTTTTGTGCAATAATCTTGATCTTTTCTGTCTTACATACAGTATTCACTCTTCAATTGTCCTCATTTCTAAGTCATGTTTTATCAATCTTATTGTCTTTGTAAATTGTACATTTATAATGAGATATGAATTCAAAAGTCTAGATCTTCTCTCTGCTTTGGGGTTTCTTTTGCACAGCACTTTACTTTGTTGAAGAAGTACATCTCCAGTTTTCTCACTGTCATCCTGCTTGGTCCTGCATAATCTTAGACTACAAAATAGAATATCAAAATGTACTGGGGTATATCAAAAATAGATGCACAGACACACACAAAAAGATATCTTCACATGATTAGCTGATATTGTCATTTGTCAATGTTACACACCTGTAATCCTTCAAGGGGTAGGGTGGGTGGGTGGGTGTCCTATTCCTCTATAACTAATCAGCTTTTCTTCTTTGGCTCTGCAGAGGCACTCAAACTGTAAAAGTAATGATACTGATAAATGTTTTGCAGAACAGGTAGAAATACAGACCATTAAAAAATGAAAATATAAAACTGTCAATACACCTCATTGGAATTGGGGTGGGGGGGGGGGGGTCATTTGATTTGAAATCTTAAACTGATATTGGGGAAGGGAAATATGGATCATCATATATTGATATAAAAAATAATTAGTTTGTGCCAAAAAAAATCTTTCTTACCACCTTCTTCTCAAGTCATTTTTTAAATAATTATAAGTATGCTAAACCATAAATCCATGAAGCTTAGTTGCAATGCTTCCCCCCCCCCCCCCCCACCTCACTTTTCAAAATTTAAATGGTTGTATGCCAAGATGATATTATCTGTTAATATTCCATGTTTAGGCCTGAGGGATAGGGTGAAATTAATTTTTAAGTCATTTTTGGTCCATGTAAATAATATCATTTGCCATTGAACATGTTGAAAGCCCGTAATTATCCATACAATTCAAGATAGAAAGTAGCATAACAAAACTCTCTTTTGCCACAAATCCAACATGTCCAATATATCTGCATTCAATTTGACCTACTATAAATTGGTTATAAAAGATATTATTAACATTTATTAATCTACATCTCACATTTTAAAAATTGAAACAACTGTGCTATTTTATGTAAAAATTCTTACCGCATATGGCGTTGTTTACACCAGGAAAGCCAGGGCATGATGCTTGAAAAACGCCAACCTCCTTCCGTTTTCGCTTTTGTTTGTTTATAAATGTGATCCATGCTAACATGCTGTAGCTAAACATCTATTTTCTACCAATTTCATCGGCGAATATTAGCTAAATTTTATTAAACATCACCAACTCTCTCAATTCGGTTTGTCGATCTATTTTTCAAAATGGCGTGGGTAAATTACCGTTAACCAATCAGAGAAAAGCAAAGAAAAATTTTAAAATCTGACCAATCAAATAGCTCCTTATTTACGAAGATTGACGATTTTTAAATATAAAATATTTTTAACAGTCTAAGGAAATGTATTTATGTACGAAGTCTAATAAGTAGTATGGAATCAATTTAATAAACCCTTGATCATTACTAGAATAATTATTAGGAATCATTTCTTATAATCGTTATTTTTGTTTTTAAGAAATTTTCCGATTACAGATGAGAAAGATTTCTGGTCAGCTATATTGTTTTGTTTTTGTTTTTTTAATTATACAAGTTGACCTGTAAAGTAGACCATAAAGTTCAAGAAGAAGGATCAATTTAGTGTTAAATCTAAAGCAAAATAACAAGGTATAGAGCCATGCCCCCTTTTCTCGGCGCCATGTCCTTTTTTCCTAACAAAAAATTAATAAATATTCCCAGTGTAGGCAATATTCCTTAGCTGTTCTGTTTATTCAGTGCATACTGATATCTCTCTTGTTTACATAACGCAACCAAGTGTGAATTCACGACAGGAAATCACTTCACGCTTGAACGCAGCACACAGCCACCTGGCTAATTAACATGCCTCAGGGTAGAAGATTTAACTTGAGAAACTGTCATTTGATTGCATTGATTATGCAAGAATTAGCCCAAGATCAAACATAATTAACTTGTAAATTATTAACTAATTAAAATCAGGATCGTTTTTTTTAAACTGAGAGTAGAATTAAACACAGAGTTGAAGAAAAACTGATATTTTATCTGAATAAAAACAACTTACTTTGTACCAAAAACTGAATGTGATGTGACAAAAGGCTAAAAACAACAATCTAAGTTAGTTTCTTTGAATGTACTGATAAATTTGACAAGCTGAGGGTCAATGTTTCTTATTTAAACCATTTTTTTCAAAACAAATTTATACATGGCATTAATTTTTTTTTTATGGGGGGGGGGGGGGTCAATTTTCACTTGATAATGTTGGTAGAATATTTTCCAAGTAAAGAGAATAGTCTCTACATGTATTTTCCAACCCCCCCCCCCCCCCTCCTTCCCTGGAAAAAAGTATTTTCGTTTAATGTTTAATTAAATTGACAGTACTCTACACAAATAACACAGTCCAAGCAGGTTAAAAAAATTAATCTCCAAACTTTAATAATTTTTGCACATGTTTCAGCTAACATTCTCTAGTGTAAATATCTATCTTAAACACACTGATAATTTAATTAGGAAACCTACTACTTGCACATCCCTTTCTAGACTTGAACATTGTAAGCTTATTTCTTGAAATTTATTTAGGATAATTTGAATATGATTCCTTCTCTGAGTGAAAAAAATGCACATATATACTAAAATCTGAAGAAAACATCGTATGCATGGTAATAGCTAGTTGGGACTTTCCATGTGCACAGGTAAATCACGTAATTTCTGAATTGTAGTATGATGCAATCATTTGTTAGCCTGCAAGACCACCTGTTGTGTGATAGATCTAAACACGTGAAAGATGTAAACCCGCTGAAAAGTTAATGTAAACCCGCTGTAAAATCTTCATGCCCAAGATGGAAATATTTCTCTGGATTACCACTGATTGAGATTAACATAAATTTTAGTACCAATTAATTATTTAAGTTCTAGATAATCGGATACCAAGATTCCTGAAAAAAAAAAATATAATATAAATTTTCTAAGTACTGGGTATGCTATAAACTTATAAAAAAAAAAAGCAGCAGACATTTTGCAAGGAATTTCTCTAAAATTTATAAAGTTCATAAAGACAAATGTAAATAGAAAATATGTCTAAATTTAACCCCCCCCCCCCCCCAACAACAAAAAGAAATAGAGACCAAATATATGGAATTTTCTGTAAATGTACTAAAATCAAATTTGAGACAAAAAATACTGACAGTCTTTCTGTAAAATTACCAAGTTCAAATTTAATATAAAAATAATACAGACAAACTCTGTAAAATTACTAAGTCTAAATTTGATATAAAAATAATACAGACAAACTGTCTGTAAAATTATTAAGTCCAAATTTAATACAGAAATGATACAGTCTAACTGTATAGACTTTTCTGTAAAATTACTAAGTTCAAATTTGATACAGAAAAAATACATCTGGAAAAAATTAAGTCCTGAAAAAATACAAAAATAATACACTGAAAAAATAATCTAAGTATACAAAAATAATACACTGAAAATAATCTAAGTCCAAATAAATACAAAAAAAATACACTGTACAAAATCAAAGTCAAATTTTAATACAAAAATGATATACTGAATTTTTTGTGATAGGAAAATAATATATTTTTTCTGTATTATTTTAAGAAAGTACAAAAATGAATGTATTAAAAGTATATTAAAAATATACTTTTCTGTATTATTTTTTGATATGGGTAGTATTGTTCAACTCAAGTTTGTTCAAATCATACCCCCTACCCCCTTTAGGGTATAGATCAGGGGCCCGTTTTACAAAAGATTTCTTACGACTAAGACCAAAAAATTCAGTTGATTGTAGGATTTGCCAAATCAACAATTCTGTTTAAAGTTCCTTATATAAAAACATCTTTCTAAATTCCTTTTATATAGATTAAAACCATTTTCAATTTAATGTAAATCAGAAACTTACAAGCAGAATGACATTTTGGTCGTAGTCATAAGTTCTTTTGTAGAACGGGCCCCAGGACCACTTCCACTTTTCAATGCTGAACTGATTTTTGCTTTTTCCTAGCCTTAGTGCTCAGGTGAGTGATGTGGCCAATAGGCTTCTTGTTAGCTGTTTCAGTAAATATTGTTACTTTCTCTTGGTAATCATTTTATGAAGTAATCTTTTTTTTTCATCGCGAGCTGAAACTTGCCAACATGACTTTTTAAGTCAAGGTCATGATACACTTTCAGGACATAAACAATTACTTTGTTATATAAACTTACAGTACTTTATTCTTCACTCTTCATTTTATCTTTAATAAAAGCATGTTTGTGTGCTCTTGAGAATATTATAAACATCAATTGTTTTCCGTATTCCAACTTCCCGAATAAACAAATTTAATAAGATGATTTATAATCAATGTAGGATTAAGGTTCATTGATACTCTGATAAGAAAAATAATCTTAATGACATGTCTATTATTCCTTTATATATTTGTCAAGTTGAAAAGCCTATTTTGTCCAATTTTGCACCGCAAGCTATGCTTTAATTGCTTATATTTTACTAATAAAATACATTTCTTTTGGAAAATCATTAAGGTTCAAGCAACATTTTATATGAGTGAGCAGAGGGTTCATGAACCTTAATAAATATTTTTAGACGGCAAACTTTTTATATGGTCTGTTTTGGCTCCTTGTATGTTAAACACAGTGAAGATTGATATTTCATTTCATTAATGAAACATAACACAATATTATATATTGACTTCTTTTATGTCTTTTATTTGCAATTTTCCATCATGATAAGAAAAACAGAAATAATGTAATGAATTATTCAATACTGACATTCCAATACTCATGGACTCTTGGTGAAAATCAGCTGATTAAAATTTTTGACAATCTCTCATTTTAAAACAAGTTAAAAAAAAATAAATTAAAATCCTAAAATGGCCAAGATATCGTGATAAAATCATCTGACAATACAATGTCTATCAGACCCCCCACCCCCAAAAAAGCAAACCAAAAAGTCTCAGAATGTATGATTTTACAATCTCTAGTCAAAGGGGACGGGACCATACAATGATTATCTTTTCTTTTTAAATCTTTAACTCAAACATTCAGTTCAAAAGAAATACAATTGTAGCACTTAACTCATGGGGCAAATCCTGTTTTCATACATTTTGGAAGAATACAAAATTTACAGACATAATTTGAATTTAGAATACAATGCACTATAAATGGCTTCAATACCACAACATTATACAAAAGATATATGTATAAATAATACAATATTTGAAAGATAAAGAAAGCATCATAGTAAGAAGAAATGACAGGAAATCTTGAAAGTTTTAGAGCTACATGTACTAGGAAATACAATCTTTGGGCTACAATTGCATCAACTTTCACTATCTTTTGTGTTAAACACACACAATCATAATTAATACTACCACATGAGAAGCCATGTAAAATAAGCAAAAACTCCCTTGTATTAAACAAATATAATCACAAAATAAAAAATGCATGCAGAAAGTACCTTACACTTATAAGGTACAGTCATATTTTTGTTGTAAAACTTGTATATACTCTGTTTATATCTTCAGCTTTCACATTTTTTTTTATATGGACACTCCACTACAGTTTTTTTGTTTTTACTGTGACAAGGGAGGTAACTCCTACATCCTCTGGAGACTGAAGGAAGCAAGTACTTGCGTTGACTTCTGCCGGGCCAGCTCTACTTGGACAAAATCCATCTAAAATGAGTTATATATCATTTCTATAAATTCAGGATTGATAAATTAACTACTTAACACCATGAACACACTTTCTAAATTCTAGGACATTGAACTTGGCAATCAGCTATTGTAAAATCACATATTTTTGTGGGGGTCAAATTTTCTAGGTTTGAGGAAAAATATTGGTTTGTGGGCACTCGGTTTCCTGGTTGGAGAATGTTAAGTAGTAATGCAATTTTAAATTTTGTGGTAGTCATAATTTCTGGGGATTCTACATGCCTCAAAAACAACGAAAAGTCTACCCCCACAAAAATGAGCGATTTCACAGTATCTGCTTGTTATGTATAGAGATATACCTGTCATTGCATGCATCCCAAGGTCAAACTATTTTCAGCTTCTGTCAAAGAATGCATCCCCTCTGCGTATTTTACTGCAAGGAAAAAAGGAAGATGAACAAACTATCTAATAATAGCTTGATAACAAGGTAAATAGAATGATGAAAAAAATATACCTATATTAAATTGTACATAGCTCTGGGAGGGTTTGAACTTTTATGGAAAAAAAACTTTTCTTATAAGGATTAAAATGGCTTTTTTATGTAAATTGGTTTTCATGCATGATAATTATATACATGTACTGATCTATTAAGAGGTATCTCTCTATACTGAACTATTTAGAGGTTTCTCTCTATATTGACCTATTTAGAAGTTTCTCTCTATATTGACCTATTTAGAAGTTTCTCTCTATATTGACCTATTTAGAGGTTTCTCTCTATATTGACCTATTTAGAGGTTTCTCTCTACATTGACCTATTTAGAGGTTTCTCTTTATACTGACCTATTTCAAGGTTTCTCTCTAGATTGACCTATTTAGAGGTTTCTCTCTATTTTGACCTATTTAGAGGTTTCTCTCTATATTGACCTATTTCAAGGTTTGTCTCTATATTGACCTATTTAGAGGTTTCTCTCTATACTGACCTATTTAGAGGTTTCTCCTTATAGGACACCGGCCCCCCTCGCCTTGGTCGCTTTTTATCTGGTTCTCTGTAAGTACAAAAACAAATCAGATGTGCAAAAATTTCTCTCTCTTGTGATAGTCATGTTCATATTTAATTCACCTGGTAAAATACTGAGCTCATTTTAAATATTAATATTTGCTGGCAAACACATGCAGCTTGTGATTTACTTAGAAAAGAGTGAGCAGGATAGAGATTAGGCCAGTTGGATGTATGACTTACTCAGAATTAGGTGAGGAGGGTAGGGACTGGGCCAGTTGGATATCAGACAGTGGATCAATGGAGGGTTTCCGGTGTCCAATCTCTGTCAGCCTCTTCTTCAGCAGAGCTAGCTTCTCCTTACTGCTAACATTCTAAAAAATCAGGAAAATCCTTCTCTTTAAACTATCGAAACCTGTAAGAGATCTTTGAAATATATTCAAACAAAGCTGGTTACAATGTACACGTGTAAAACTTAGTATTATTAAATGAAAAGAATGAACTCATATTTTTCTGAAATACAATTTGCTGATACTGAAATCTATCATGTAAATCACTTTTTATTCACGAGAACTGTAATTTCATGCTATTAGACCAGACTTTCTACTTGCTAAAATTTCGTCATAATTTTATGAGCAAAGCTTACCTAAAGCAATTATCAGAAAATTTTGTTCCAAGTATCTATGGTATTTTTCAAAAGATAAGGTATCACAAAAATATTTTTATCTACATTACTTTTTTTTTTTTTTACCTCAACATTATTTTCTTTTTCCAAACAATGGCTGTCTTTCATTTTTTCTGATTGCTTATGACTTTTTGATTCTTAAAAAGATATGTATAGAGTAATGTAGTAATTTAGAGTATGTAGGCACATAAATATTTTGCAAAGATATACTCTGAGTGTTGGCTGTTTGGTGTTTTTTCAGGACATTTTGACTTTTTGGCACTTTGATTGTCTTCCGTTTTCTTCTTTGTGCTTTTCTTAGATCTGGATTTCAACGCCGACTTCTGACTTTTTCTCCTTGGCACGTCTGGTGTTTTCAAGAGAGGGGTCTTGTGATCAACTTTTGCTGGATCATTTTCTTCTTTTTCTGTCTCTTCATGGTTATTAACTTTAACACCGCTACTGCTCTCCGTGGCTCTTTTGGCTGAAACATGTTTATAGAGTTTGTCAAAATCGGAAAAAGTAATGTCATCATTATCGTCCACAATGGCAGGTTTGGTGTGACCTCGTTCTCTGACAAAATGGGATAAACGATCCTCAACACTTTCAGCCGATGTGGGAGTCACTGATTCCGAGTTTGTTTTTTTGTCTTTTTTATCTCCATGTTTTTTTGACATATCTTCTTGGCTCCCCTCTTCTTTCTTCTTTGCCTCAGTTTTGGAACTGCTAGTTTTGGATTCTACCCTTTCTTTGGCTTTCTTTTCTTCCAATTTTGTCTTTCCTTTTGCTTTATTTTCCTTCAGCTCTCCTTTATCTTCATCTACCTCTTCATGTTTTCTCTTTTTTCTATTCTTTGCTGACACAGAAGATGAAGAATCTTCATCAATATTGCCAGAATTAACCTCCACCAAGGATTCATTTACAGACAATTCCTGTCCCCCTGGAATGATCTCCCTCTCTGCGTCATCGTCGGAGCTGACGGACACCAGCACCTCAGCCTGTCTGCCTGATCTCCTTGTTGTCTGCTCCTTCCTTCCTGACGTCTGTTCCTTCTCCTTACTCCCAGTCAGAGAGGCCAGGAAGGTCTTTGTCTGCTCTGCCTCTCCCTTCTCCTTGGATCCTGAAGACTTCCTCAGGGATTCTAAGAATGACTTACTGGACTTCCGTGACGTCTCAATGTCAGACGAAATTTCACCTTCAACAGATTTTGGTTGATTTTCCAAATCAATTTCATTAACCTTAGTTTCTGACAACTCATCTTGACCCACTTTTTCTACATGCCCACCTTCTTCCACTTTTTCCTTCAATGACCGAGCTCTTGACCTACTTCTTGTTTTCCTAACAATTTTTATCTCCTCTGTATCCTCAGCCTTCTCTCCATTTGTTTCCTCCTGCTCAGCTTTATCATTACTTTTCTTTTCTTGTGCAGCCGATTTCCTTGTCCTTGACCTGCTAGTTCTCTCTTTACTGACCTTGACCTTTTCATCTGAACTACTATCCCTTCTTTTCCTTGACCTGCCTCTAGATCTGTTTTGCTCAGTAGCTGCTGCTGGCTCATAGTCACTGTCTTCCTCTAGTTTTTCTCTTCTTCTCTCTCTCCCTCTACTCTGTGACCTTGTCCTCCGACCTGTCTGTTCTACCTCTTCTCCACTGCTCTGCCTTTTTCTGGATTTTGACATTCCTTGTCTTTTAACCTTTGACTTGACTTCTTCTTCCTTCTCCTCTTCTTCATCAGATGATGCTTCTCTATAGGTTCGAGGACGTGACCTTGACCTTCTGGATTGTCTGACTGGTACCCTGTCTACAGCTGGTGACCCTTTGGCCATTGGCACATAATATACTGGGTTATCTGGCAAAAGCTTGGGCTCCTTTGCTGGTTTTTTGGTCTTCACCTTCTGGTTTTCATCCTCTTTACTTTTAACCTTTTTACTTTCATCCTTAGATGATGACTTTTCCATTTCTTTTTCTTTCACTTCTTTTTCTTCATTGGGCTCACTATACAAAGATTTAACATCAAGGGTGACCGTAGGAGTTCTGTCCCCGAAGTCAAACACATTTTTTGGTTTACCCGGGGTCTTCGAGATGGTTGAGATGACTTCACTGGTGGCCTTACTTAGTTTCACTTTCCCTTTTGATCTGGCTCTGGAAACCGGTTTCTGAGGAACAGGCTGCCGTGTTCCATCATCCAGTTTTCTTGAAGCACGATACTCAAAATTTCCAGGTTTGGATACTCTCATTTCAACAACGGATTTCCCCGCTGCTTCACTGTCTTTCTTTCCAGGGTCCTCAGATTCCTCCTTTTCCTCAGCTTTTTCTGAGTTTTCTTCTTTTTCCTGTTTTGACTTTTTCCCTGATTTTACCTGCTCACTGGCTTTCATCTTTTCCAGTTTACTCTTTAAAACTGCCACATTGGACTTCCCCACAGACTCTGCTGTTTTCTTCTCAGTAGCTTTCTTGGGATTCTCCCCATCTTTCTTACAATTTTCATCCTCTGTTCTGATTTTACTCTCCTTCTGCGATCCTTTTTCTCCCTTCCTGCTGCCATTATTTTCCTCACTTTTAGACCCCGAGGTTTCGTTGGTACTACTGATGGAATCGGTAGAGATCTGCTGTGTGAAGTTATATACCTCTGTCATCTCCATGTCCGTGTTGAAGTACCTGGTGTGGTCCTCCTCAGCCTCCATCGGCTCTGGGTCCTCGGAGGAATTCTCCTCGGAATTCGGAGGAACCACAAAGGTCTCCCGTCTGTCCTTGGGCTCCTCTGGCACTAAAGTCTGTGGCTTAACAAAAGTCTTCCTTCTATCATCAGAACTATCCATTTCATTCCCTGCAGGTGGACAAGAATTAGTTTCATAATTTAGATCTCCAACATCAGACACTACAAATGTTCCCCTTCTATCCACCGTGTCCTTATATTTCACTTTCTTCTCTACAGAACTGCCAGTTTTTATTTCCTTATTGGATGTCTTAGATTTTTCCTTTGAACTTTCCTTGCTCTTCTTCACTTCTTTCTCTACCACAACCTCTCCACCCTTCCCATTATCCTTTCCATTTTCCTTGATCTTCTTCACTTCTTTCTCAACAGCAATCTCTCCATCCTTCCCATTTTCCTTTCCGTTTTCCTTGATCTTCACTGCCTCTTTCTCAGTCATAACCTCTACTCCTTTCCCAGCCTCTGTATTATCTGTGTTTGATGGCACCTTTGTTGTTCCTCTCTCCTTCCTTGGTACACGCTGAGGGAGTTTAGACACTTGGGACTTGGGTTTCTCTTCTCTCTCCTTGTTCTGGGACTTTCCAGAGTCTTCTTCTAGCTCATCTGAAAAAAAAAAATCAGTTATCATCTTTACAGATCAGCATGAAGCAAAAGCAGTACAAAGAAAAACTAATACTTCAACTGAATATTAGTGTTGCAAAATTGGATCAAATTTTGTTATCAATTATCAAATTTAATTGGTAGCATACTGTAAGCGTATTACATTTAGCAGTGTATTCTATTTAGCGATTTTGGTGGAAAACAGAGTCCGCTAATTCAAGTACATCGCTAACTGTCTTGTATATTAACTTTTATAACTAGCAAATTCAGACAGCCCTAAATCAAATCTACGCTAACTTGTTGAAAATTGAATTTCCGCCAAATATAGTACAGGCCAATTGTAATACATTTACAGTATATCCTCAGAAATGAGAATAATACTTTAATATAAATCTTTGAGAACATCAAAGCATGCATAGTTGGTGCATTTGTATGCCATTTTCAAGAGAAAGAGGTTTAAGTCCTTTAATAATGTAAAAGATAAACCAGTTTGGTAAAAAAAAAAATTAGAGCTATTGATCTTTAAACTTTATATCAACTGTTTCCAAATTGCTGTCTTCATCAATGATTTTTCGATATTTGGAGACTATCCTAACAACACTCAGCGTTTTTTTCCCTTATATATAACTGGTACTGATAAACGGCACCGTACCCAATGCAAAAAACCGTTAATTTTTCCCAATTCTGTGACTAAAAATTCCCAATTCAACTGTGAAGCGAAAGATTACGATGTTAAATGAAACATTGTACAAGTTGACTAATTGCTTTACTTCCGCTTAAACCGAAAGTAGAGAAAGTGGTAATTTGGCGGGACCAGTGGTTCAGACAGCGAAGTGTCATACATTTTGACAAATTGAAAGCATGAAAATGTGAAAACAAGGGACGTTGATATAAAAAACAATAAGTACTTGGTGTTTATTCTTTGAAACAATCAGTAATAGGTAATTAAGTTGAAATAAACGCAATATACGTTGCATTTGCATAACTAAGAGAAAATTCTCCTTTCTTTTTCTTCGATGTTATTTTTCCCAATTGAACCGGTACCGGACTCTTTCCCAAAGGGTGGAAAAAAATCGCTGACACTACTAAATGCATTAAAACACGCTTATAGCGAACAAGCTTATAAAGAACTGACCCTTACAACTGAGTGATTTTCATTCCCCATGACTTAAAAATATGTTGTCAACTAAATGGATATAACAAATTACATAAATAATGAAGCAAAATCGTCCATCCCTGGCATTTTGCTATAAGCATGTTTGACTGTACATCTAGTTTATTTTACCACTGATGTTGAGTAGAGCTGAGTCGAGATCGGTGAGCGGTTCCACATCCTCCAGACTCATCGTCTGTTCTGCGATCACGCTCATGTCGTGTGAACTCACGGCGTACAGGGGGAGGGTTGTCGTGGGGATCCCCTCTGATGTGGGTAAGGGTTCCTTAGGGAGGGACAGGGAGGAGCCCTTGGTCTGGGCATAAATTGATCTGAAAAAGACATCCAGAAAACATTCAGCATTCTCATTACAACAGACAGACAAACTTCTTTTATGAAAAAAATAAAATAGAATAGAAATCAGTTTTACAAACAAGAGGCCCAGGGGCCACAGCGCTCACCTGAGCACATATCAGGCTTGAATTTACTCCCACCCCCCCCACCCCCTCCAGGCGTTCATCATTTGAACAAACTAGAATCTACACTACCTGAGAATGATTCCATATAAATATCACTAATCATAGCTTTGAAGTACTTGAAAAGAAGATTTTAAAAGGTTTCCCTATATATCCCTAAGAATAAAATTTAATTTTGGCCCCACCCTAGCCCCAGGGGTCATGATTTGAAAAAAACTTAAATCTGCACTACCTGAGGATGATTCCACATGAGTTTTATCTTTCCTGGCCCAGTGGTTCTGGAGAAGAAGATTTTTAAAGATTTTCCTATATATTCCCATGTAAAACTTTCCATTTTCACCCTTGCCCCAGGGGTCATGATTTGAAAAAATATATCTACACTACCTGAGGATGATTCCACATGAGTTTCATCTTTCCTGGCCCAGTGGTTCTGGAGAAGAATTTTTTTAAAGATTTTTCCTATATATTCCTATGTAAAACTTGGGTCGGCCATTTTGGCCCCACCCTTGCCCCGGGGGTCATGATTTGAACAAACTTGAATCCACACTACCTGAGGATGATTCCACATGATTTTTATCTTTCCTGGCCCAGTGGTTCTGGAGAAGAAGATTTTTAAAGATTTTTCCTATATATTCCTATGTAAAACTTGGGTCGGCCATTTTGGCCCCACCCTTGCCCCAGGGGTCATGATTTGAAAAAACTTGAATCTACACTACCTGAGGATGATTCCACATGAGTTTCATCTTTCCTGTCCTAGTGGTTCTGGAGATGAAGATATTTTAAGATTTTTCATTATATTCCTATGTAAAACTAGGGTCGGCCAAACCCTTGCCCCGGGGGTCATGATTTGAACAAACTAGAATCTACACTAGAATTATGATTCCACATGAGTTTCACTTTCCTGGCCCATGGATAGAAGAAGATTTTTAAAGATTTTTCCTATATATTCCTATGTAAAACTTGGGAATATTTGGCCCCACCCTTGCCCCAGGGGTCATGATTTGAACAAACTAGAATCTACACTACCTGAGGATGATTCCACATGAGTTTCATCTTTTCTGTCCTAGTGGTTCTTGAGAAGAAGATTTTTCTTATATATTCCTATGTAAAACTAGGGTCGACCATTTTGGCCCCACCCTTGCCCCAGGGGTCATGATTTGAACAAACTTGAATCCACACTACCTGAGGATGATTCCACATGAGTTTTATCTTTCCTGGCCCAGTGGTTATGGAGAAGAAGATTTTTAAAGATTTTTCCTATATATTCCTATGTAAAACTTGGGTCGGCCATTTTGGCCCCACCCTTGCCCCGGGGGTCATGATTTGAACAAACTTGAATCTACACTACCTGAGGATGATTCCACATGAGTTTCATCTTTCCTGGCCCAGTGGTTCTGGAGAAGAAGATTTTTTAAAAATGCCATTAATTTTTAACAAATTCATGATTATCTCCCCTTGGAAAAGGGTGTGGCCCTTCATTTGAACAAACTTGAATCCCCTTCACCCAACGATACTTTGTGCCAAGTTTGGTTGAATTTAGTCCAGTACTTCTTGAGAAGAAGATGAAAATGTGAAAAGTTTACAACGACAACGACAACAACAACGACAACGACAACGACGACAGACAACGGACAAATTTTGGTCAGAAAAGCTCACTTGAGCCTTCGGCTCAGGTGAGCTAAAAAGGTTAAATTTAACAGTGACCACGGTCTCTCATTTCTTTATACTGTTAAGAATGCTTATAGCAAACATGCTTTTAACAGGTTGGGGTGAAAGGTAAATTCCGCTATAATAGTGGTATCTCACTATTATAGTGAAATTACGCTATATTTTCTGCCGTGGATACCCTCAATTTCATCCGATGCCATGTAAGGCGTTTGAACCGCAAGTCATGGTGGGTATTAAGATGAACAAAAACTGTCATGCTTTTATGTTTTGAATTTTAATAAATTTTCTACCGTTGCGTTTAATAATATACTCTTTTTTTTAACGGAAGTTGCATTTTTAACATAGCAACCGATGATTGCGGGGATATTTAAGCCTGTTTGAATATCACTTATTGCTTATTAATGTGCACAAATTGATGCTTGTTGCGATTGTCAACTTAAACTGGAAAGGGTTTATTTAATTAAACAAGAAAAAGATTATTTGTGTCTGCATGGTTACGGGTATGGAGGCTCGTTATGGTAAACGGAAAGACACATTATGGCAAACATAAAAAAGAGTATAATGATAAACTCGATTTCTATCCTCTTTACAAAATCAATTTATAATAAATAATCAAAAATTTACTTATATAAAAACGATCCTAGAAAATATATCTAATTTTTAAATTCGGCCGGTTAATTGTTTATTTCAGAAAAAAAGACTTAATTTATTTTGGTGTCGGGAATGTTTGACAAGAGTGCCTGTAACACGTTCAAATAATTATGATTTATTAATCTTTTTAACTGCGCACAAATGTATCTTGTTTAGGTTATGCGCATAGACAAGAATGATTTAACTTTAAAATCTGAGAGAAATAGCTATAGTTTTTTCTTGTTCTATGAAAAATATTTATATCTAATTATATTCTAGGAATTGAAAGTATGTAGCAAACAAGAGGCCCATGGGCCACATCGCTCATCTGAGCACTAAGGGTAGGAAAAAGTAGAAAATTGCTTTTAATTGTAAAGTTTAAATCCAAAAGTAGTCCCATGACCAATCATGGATTTGCTATTTTTAAGAAAATGATTTTTAAAGAATTTTCCTATATATATCTTTAAAAACTTTGGTCGGCCATTTTGGCCCCGCCCTACCCCCGGGGTCATGATTTGAACAAACTTGAATCTACACTACCTGAGGATGTTTCCCCATAAGTTTTATCTTTCCTGGCACAGTCACAAAAAGAATATTTTTAAAATATGCCACCAAATTTTCATTAATTCCCAATTATCTCCCCTTGTATAAGAGCGAGGCCCTTCATTTGAACAAACTTGAATCCCTTTCACCCAAGGATACCTTGTGGCATGTTTGGTTGAAATTGGCCCAGCGGTTCTTGAGAAGAAGTCGAAAATGTGAAAAGTTTACAGACAGACGGACGCCGGACAAAAATGTGATCAGAAAAGCTCACCTGAGCTTTCAGCTCAGGTGAGCTAAAAATCACACTAAAGTATTATTTTTTTCAGGCTTTTAAATTTATGCCATTGTATTATTGTTTAAACCACTAGGAAACTTCAAATAGCCAATCACCACTGCTCAATATTCGGCATAAGAAGTGTCTAAAATATTTTTGACTGAATTCATATTTTTCACAATTAAAAATTAATGTAAAGCATCAAATCGGCCACAAACAATTTAGCATTTGATAAAGTACTTTCACAATTTTGAAAGCATATCCATGCAATGGAAGTACAAGATATTCAAAGCTGAACTAGAATCTTGAGAAACGTATATTTTTATTTTCAATCAAATCTTTTATCACTGACTTCATATGCGTCAGAATCTTTCACGGGGGGGGGGGGGGGGGGGGGGGGGGCTTAGCCCCACACTTTTTTTGCAAAGATAGTACATTTTGTATGTATTGAAAATTGGGGTTTACCTTTTTTGTTGGTTTAGCCCCCCCCCCCACTTTGAATTAGCCCCCCACTTTCAATTTCCTTCAGACTCCTATGGACTTTATTACATCGATGAATCCATTTGATGAGCAAATGCACTTAAATATCTATGTACGTACTTACTGCTAGTATTTAAAAAAAATATTTATTTACATTGCTTTGAAGACAGTCTGAAATAAAAATGACCGAACCACGTGCACCCTGGATCTTGATCGCATGATAATCCCTATGATTTATGCAGAATAGGGTATATGTATGCTGAAAGGCGCTGTGCAAAATAAGGAAACAAAATTATCCTCATATCATTCGCAGCATTCACAGCTGTAACATATTCAAAACATTTTTTTATGAGTTAAACTTTTTTTTCTAATTTTTCATTAACCGTGCACTTTATGTACCAGTCGTTATGATGCGACCGGAAAGTCATAATTTCTTTTTATATCTACATGTATATAGTACCTTTTGTAAACTCTTTTTATATAGTCTATATTATTAAATATCTTGATCAGAAATGACAATGAAATTGAAACATTATAACAATAACATTTTAAATGTGTTTATTAAGTATTTAAAAAATATTTTACTTATGATTTTCTAAATGTTATCAGTAAAGAATTATTATACTGAATTATAACAAAAATAACTTCTCATTTCTCATGTTCACTATCTAATACAACCATGCACAAAAAGATCGGCCGCTGCGATAATAATTGGTCTTTCTGTTTACCATAACGAGCCTCCATACCCGTAACCATGCAGACACAAATAACCCTTTTCTTGTTTAATTAAATAAACCCTTTCCAGTTTAAGTTGACAATCGCAACAAGCATCAATTTGTGCACATTAATAAGCAATAAATGATATTCAAACAGGCTTAAATATCCCCGCAATCATCGGTTGCTATGTTAAAAATGCAACTTCCGTTAAAAAAAAGAGTGCTCGCATTATTAAACGCAACGGTAGAAAATTTATTAAAATTCAAAACATAAAAGCATGACAGTTTTTGTTCATCTTAATACCCACCATGACTTGCGGTTCAAACGCCTTACATGGCATCGGATGAAATTGAGGGTATACACGGCAGGAAATATAGCGTAATTTCACTATAATAGTGAGATACCACTATTATAGCGGAATTTACGTTTCCCCCCAACCTGTTTAACGAATTAATGCTTACATTGTACAGCAAAGTGATTTTCATTCTTTCTAACTTTGATTATAATTGTAAATATTACCAATGTAACAAATTATTTTTTTTAATGAAACAAAATCGTCAGTCCCTTTTACTTCATTATAAGCACATTTTACAGATATAACAAACTATGTCTTTAACGAATCAAAATCGTCAGTCTCTGCCACTTCCTTATAAGTGTGTTTTTCCGTATTTACCTCTGATAAGCCGGTCCGTTGACGTCCACTTCTAGGTCCGCGTTAGAAGAGTTGCCGACGGAGGATGTCTTCCGTGACCCGATGGTTGACCGCCGGGAGGACTGGACGCAGTGATGGAGAGCCTCACTCAGGTTATGGCTGACCGCAAACAGGTTCTCCCCCATACTGGTCAGGAAACCCCTCAATGTCTCGTGATTTTGCTAAAAAAAGAACGCATAAATCTTTTCATTGAATATTATTCTATTCCAACCTGTTAATTTTCCTTAAATTGAAGGGTACTTTTTTCTTGGCAAAATGATACGAGACATATGAGAGCATTAACACTTCTACCTTTGGGAAATATAAATTTCAATGTTGTTAAATTAACAAAAACAAGGAAAAAAAATCAGGCACAAAATTTTAAAATTCAATGAGAAAGGCAGCATTCTTCAACAGGAGCTATCTCTCATCATACATCATATTCATATTATTTAATACCCAATAAAGTTATAGTGACGTTAATCAAAACTTTTTCCTTAAACAGCTACAACCTCTACTCTTCGGAGCACTTCCTCCTCGATTTCTTCGTTTTTCAGTCCCGACACTCGCTCAAGCATGACGATCCTCATTTCCCTCTCCTGGATTTCTTTGCGTAGTTCGTGATTGACTTCCAGGGCCGCTCTGAGTTCCTGTTTGACCCTCTCTAGATTCAGGGCCAGGGCCCGATTATTGGCCCTCAGGGACTGCTTCTGTACAGAATTTACTGAAAGGAAACGGATTTAAAAAAAATTATTTTGAATACAAGGTTCATCAATATTGACCAAAAGCCCAGAATTACCAAAGCTAGCTGCAGAACTGTAGCTCTCTGCTTGAGAAAATTCCGACAGATAAAGCAGAGAGCTACAGATCCAAGCATTGTAAAAACCTTTGATTTACGTAGACGATTTTTTGTCGCTGACTTCGGGCATTTTTTCTTGTATTTAATACTTTCACCAGCTCTTAAAATGGTATTTGATAATTAATCATGCATTTAACTTCAATTCCTAATAATTTACTTACCTTTCCATGCTAACAAATGGCTGTTTGTGGTTACCATTTACGGACGTCAAAATGAAACTCTTTTAAACCGACATTACAATATTAAATACAGGACGGTTTCAGACCATTAAAAGGTTTTTTAATAAAGTTCACAAATAAGAGTTAAACATTAATTATAGGATACAATTCTAAAAGCACGAAAAGTTTTACACGAAATAAATTTAAAGTAGCAACAAAAAATGTCGCAAAAACATTTTTTAATGTTTTAATCACGTGCTCTCTTTTATCGTTTTTTAAGCAGTTTTTAGAACATTTTAGTGAAGCTATACCAAAGCTAGATCTCATGAAAATGATTTTTTTTATTTTAAGGTAGGTCACTCCTCAACTTTTTGGAAAAGTTCACGCAGAACCTCTTACTTACAAACTATTTATCAAAATTCAGTTTTTATAGCATATTTAATTTCAACAATGTTAATGTTTTAACATTCAACAAAAAAACTGCTCATAAAGCTACAAAGAAGCAAGATTTGTGAGGGACTATTTTTGTGGTGGAAGGATATTTAGCAGATAATTCTGCAAATCTGCACATTTATTAGATTTAATATTTGGACTTTTAGCCTCACATACTTTTACGGAGAATATTTTCCATTATGACATTGCTAGGAATATTTAATATAGGTCTTAATTTAAATTTTTAGAACAAGTTTTACACCTTCCTTCATCAAACTTTGCCAAAAAATGAAGATATGTAAAATAAGTCATTATAAAATTAACACCATTTTATGAAAATCACATATTCTGACCAATATTTCAAATTAACATCACTGACCCGAACTTTTTCTTTCATTATTTTAAAGTACTCGATACTTGTGACTGATCAGCATGTAAGTCGTAAAAGCTTGATTTAAGAAAATGTTTTCCATTCACTATTCAATTTTTTAATAAAACATGCCAAAATATGTTCATTTTAGTGCAAAAAGGTACAAATAAATTACGCGTATTAATTTGCAATCTTGATGTTTTCAATAAATATTATTCAAAATATTTTACGTAAAATAAGATATTTTTTGCCATGGTTACATCTGATAAATTATAATAAAGGTTTAATTAATTAACCAAAGCGTCTGCCCCTAAGTGCAAAGAATAGCACAATTGTGTAAAGATAAGGAAAATTGTGTTTGTATCAGCGATTTTGAGTCATTCTTTATGAGTACTTATCCAAAATATACAATAAATGACAATATTTAACAAAAAATATACCTTAAGTTACAACTGAATATATCAAATTGTAATATCTCTCAGTAGGTTGCATCTCAGAAATAGCTTAAACTGATTTTGTAAGATGCAGGGTTGTCCCTAAGAATTGAAATAGAAGGGGATATTTAAAATAGACCTTTGCCTTCACCAAAGGGGGGCTTTATGAAATAATGTGGGAAAAATTTGAAAAGGTGGATGATGCAACCAACACCATGCTTAGCGACAACCCTGAAGATGTCATTTTAGTCAAATTATTGTGTTGATTTTTAACATTTCACAAGGAACACTTACTGAAGATTTGCTTTTTTGTAAGGGAAGTAATTGTCTCTGCCTTACAGAATGAAATCAAATCTAACAGTGGCGTTTTCTTTTTCATCATTTTCAAGCCTCGTTTTCGCTTTTTCACACTGGCAATAGTAGACACATCCAAATTCTCCATCTCCTACAGAAAATAAAAGTCAAGAAAAGAGATCTTTTAATTATCTATGATTCAGGCTGTAATTGAAATAAAATTTTAAAAATGATAAATGCTAGATTTTAGGGCTTTAAACAACATTTACTTTGTGACAAACCAGATACTTCTCCAATGAAAATACCATCCTAGGTAACCCAAGGCTGATTACGCTTTGTTCCTCTCTCCATCAAATTTGGAGGAACGAAGATAAGCAGCAAACCACTATACTCTCTAAAAGCTTAGCAGGAGAATTTCAAATAATAGGTTTCTTTTACAATAACTTTTGTACTACACTTTTGCAGGACAAATTAATAACTTTTGGTGAAGCTTTTGTTGACAAATAATTTAACTCAGTGTCAGTCAGGATCATATATTTTATATTTCAACATTTTTTTTTTAAAAAAGACATTAAGAGTTTTTTAAAACTTCTTGATTACATGCAGGGCCTTTGGGCATCATTAAATAGAATGTTACATCACTTTTTTTGTTTGCCTATCCTTAACAATAGAATTCATTTTTATGATTTGTTTAAAAAATTATCTTTATGATAAAAATTAATCTGTTTAAACAATCCAGAGAGCTCAAAACTGAACATGGTGTATAAATTTGAAACGAGAACAAAGATTAAGGAAATTACTTGAATTTTTGTCTTTATATGGAAGATTTTAAGGATAAAAAGCAATCAAAATCACAAAAAGGTTTCTTTTGATTTATCAATGATTTCTTTGTAGTCATTTTCAGTGCAACCTCTTTTGTATCATTTTGGAAGGGACTAAATTTCAAAAAATCACATATTCCAACTGTGGTGTTAGAGGGCTTGTCCCGAGACACGTAAGATTTTTTTTATTAGGCATAATTGCACTGCACACTGTCTATAACTTGAAATAATAAAGCTACGTTTCTAAACAAATGTAGTGATTGTACTATGTATGTACTATGTACTATGTAAAATGCACGTTTCAACTTTTGAAGTGACAGGGGGTTGCTTCTGGCTGGTAATAATTATTTCTTCTAAAAAAAATCATACACGAAATACCAAAACATATCTGAAAGAGGTATTATTTTGTATATTACCTGTTTAAAGAAATAATTATTGCAAGCCGGGAGCAATCCCTTGTCTTTCTTATGCAGTTTAAATTTGGTTCTTGACTCAGGCAGTTTCCATTTTCATAGCAAACATAAACCTGCATATCGATAACTTTTAACAATTAAAAAAAAGAAAATCCTTAGATTTTCTGTATTAGGTCCGCTTTTGGACACATTGACACTCACCTCCTTGCTTCTACAATTTGTCTCACAATCTTCGCCATCGGTCGCCATATCAAATATTCCGCTTCTTTGTTATCTTTAATTTCATTGGTCAATTTGAAAACGGAACTGGAAAGCACTAACTGCTATAGGCGCGGATCCATTGTTAATTTTAAATTATCAGTTTTGACCGTGTTGTGTATAATTGTATGAAAAAAGTTTAAAATATCAACATTTGTTTATATCATGTTTTTTGTTATCATGGACATTATTTCAAATACTGTTCAAGAACTTTGAAAGAAATTTTCCCAAAAATAAGTAAATAAATATTTTAATATAAAAAAAAATAAAGAAGTAATTATTCTCATTAATTCCTTCAGCTTCAAGTGCATATTGATTGTAATTGATGACGAAACTTAATTCAATTAATTATCCATGAAAAAAAAAACACATTTACGCAGACATATAATTCAAAGAAAGATCGTACGTAAAACTCGGCTGTTATCTCGCACTAGCAGAAACCGCATGCCTTGAAAATTCCCCCAAAACAACTCCTCTGCCAAAAAATTTTGTTGTGCACTCAGAATCAAGATGGATGTTTTCCCAAAGATATGGACTCGTATTTTACTTCTGGTAAGTAAATATTCAATTTCTATGGCCTTTGAACCTGAAAGTACTTGCAATATTTAGGCACATACTATCGTGTTCAATTTACAAGAAGGGGGTGGGGTGTCCAAACTCGAAAATCATGTTTCGTGGAGAGGAACGGGAGAAGGGGGGGGGGGGTTTATAGAAACTTTTACATCGCTACATTATCTTAATTTGACAGGTATAAAAATACTAGAAAAAAGAGCAAAAGAGCAAATACATCAATTAGGGAACATTAACATTCTTGTTTTATAGGAAGATAAAAGGAATACATTTTATACTAAAAATACTGATTCCAATGAATAATTAATTAATTAATAAATAACGATAATTATCAGTTAGTAATTGAATGTAGGTATAAAAGATCTGCTTTTTCATCTTTATGCACCTCGGAACTGCACTTTCAGAATTTTAAATGCTGCTAGCTGCAGCAACAAGGTGTATTACTGTTGAAGCTATTCAATCATGTAGATCTCTTAAGTGAATCAAAGTCAAAATAAATTCAAAAATATAAATGATTATATGATAAAAAAAAAAACGTATGTTATTGACGGTTTCTATTTTTTCAGGTTTTCGTATTCTTTCTGCCGTGGGCAAATACTGAAGATTGTTTTAAATTCCGGAAGAAACAGAAGAATTATGTTCTATTTGACGTCACAGATTCGGAACTCTCAGAAAGGTACGTCTGTTTCACTAAGATCAAAAGGATGATAGGTGGATCCAGTATTTTCAATTTTTGGCTAAGTATTTAAAAAGAATTATAATTTATTTAGACAAAACGTTTGTAAAGCACTGATGCTCCTAATATAAAGTCAGCTCACGACAAAGATTAAACTTTTTCAATGATTTGTCAAATATCAAGATAATTAAATGTCACTGGGTCAAACTTGACCGGAACAGAACACTGACGGATTAATGCCCCCCTTTATTGTGTCCAAAATATACATAAGACCTATAAATGCTTCTTTTTTGGGGTGTGTGGCGGTGGGCCCCTACTCCGACCCAAAACTCACTCTTCCCACACTTTTCAAGATTCCTGGATCTTTCACTACAGACAGGACTTGCCACAAGGTATACGCATGTGAAATATGAAGTCGCTGGAAACAATTTACCGTTCAGGTGTTATGGCCAAAGTTACATGTAATATTATTTTTTCAAAGTAGACAGAACTTCAAGATCAAGGTCTTAAAATGTTGCTACTAAAAGAAAGGTCTTGTCACAAGAAATATACATGTGAAATCTGAAAGCCCTTAATTCAGCCCTTGAAAGTAGTAGACAAGCTTGATTTTTTTTTTAATAATCAAACTTCAATTATCTTTAAAATGTTGCTATACCCAAAGAATGGCCCTGTCACAAGGAAAATTTATACATAATATATGAAAGCAATAATATCAACTTAATTCGAGAGTTATCACCAGGGTTAAAATTTTAGTGACAAAGAGACAAAAACTATACTTCCCCGAGTCGTCGATTGCGAAGGCATAAAAATAAGAGCAGAAAAACTTAAAAGGATGATCGAAAGTCATTGAACTTCAGAAGAGCTTCCAATTCGTTAACATTAGCAGATTCAGGTTACTGGCTTTGTATAGGAGTCGGTGCTCGCCAAACACTTAATTTGATTGTAAAGCCTGCTAATATTTTTTAATACAGCAAACCTGGATATGAATTTACTGCAAAGGATTATCAATTACCAAAGAAATGAAACATACGGCTTTTGATTCAGGAACGAATACTAATGATTTAGCAAAAGATGATTTTTTTTGCGTAAGTTAGGACCAAAATGTTGGGGAAAAAGGGAGTCGGGCGGGGGGGAGGGGGGGTGGAAGGGGGGGGGTGGCAAAAAGTATACACCCCTTCTCTAGATGAAAAACACACACTCTATATTTAGAAAAAATGTTTGTTTTGCTGTCGCCATTTGTTTCTTGGTTTTTTGTTCCAGTGCCGAGTTTACTTTGACATTTCGGACAAGCAAACCAGACGGCATGATATTCTACATAGAAGGCATGTATTCCACAGAAGCCCCGTATGATTTTGAGAGTCTGTACGTCCGGGATGGGAAGCTGAATTATTTTGTGTTCAATCCGGACTCGACAGGAATTGGACGTTCGTACGGAATTCACGTGATGACTGATTTTGATGTGAACACAAACGAGGATATACAGGTAATATATAAGGGTCAAATATTATACCTCAAATGATTTTCTTTATATCAAATTTAGATCGTTTAATGTGAATAATTCATTAGAAATCGATGTGAATAGATTAATCCCTGTGTGTTAGTTAAATGAGCTAATACCTGCTTCGGAAGCTAATTCCCTGATATCTCTGATAATAATGCTCTAGATCTTACGTTTGAATCGGTATCATGTTTATGGACTTATCCCCAGGGGCGTAGTATCCGGGGGAATGGCCCCCCCACTTTTATGTAACCTTACTTACACTATAGGAAATATTAATTGTGTCTTTGTGAGTGAGATGTCATTATTTATGGCATATTGCATGAAATATGAACACCCTGTCATATGTCATTCAATAGATATCACCAAAGTTGATTTTTTGATAATTAGGTCAACCATGAAGGTCAACGTCAAGGGATCCGAAATCATTAGCATGATCGCAGTTATATTTAGAAAGTTCTTGTCACAATATATATACATGTGAAAGGTGAAAGCCCTAAACCTTCTCACACAAAAGTTATATGTATGACCATGATAAAATTTTTTGAAATGTAGGTCAAACTTCAAGGTCATAGTCATGGGGTCAAAAATCGTAGTGTATTTAGAAAGGTAATGTTACAGGTAATACTCACATATAATATGAAAGTCCTATCTCTTCTCTTTCAAAAGATAAGAAAAAGCTTTGAAAAGGTTTTGTGATAGGTGGACAGAATGACAGACTTAGAGACGGACAGACGAATGAGATTAAACATGTAAATGTTCCCTCGCCTTTGCGAAAGCGGGGGTGGGAAGGTGGGTTAAAAATCAAGAGAGCAATGGATCTTCTAAAAATTTTATAGGTCAATTTCTTCCGGAGAAAGGAATCGACCGCAACTACTCATGATCTAGATGACGTTGCTCATCTCGCGAGAGAAGACGAGACTCCGGTTGAGACGGTCTTCCGTTCTGGATTTGTTGTGAACGGAAGAGAGTTCACCACCCTTTCTGGGACTTTTCCTCTTGACCTAAAAGACAATCAGGAGGAACAACACGTCTGGATTGGAGGGGCCTTTCCAAGTCGGGTGAGTAATCAATTAATCAATCAATCAATCAATCAATCAATCTATATATCAATCAATCAATCAGTCAGTCAGTCAATCAATCAGTTAGTCAATCAATCAATCAATCGATCAATCAATCAATCAATCAATCAATCAGTCAGTCAATAATAAATCATGCCGTCAATCAATCGATCCATCAATCAATCATTCAATCGATCAATCAGTCAGTCAATCAATAATCAATCAGTCAATCAATCAATTTATCACTCACTCATTCACTCACTCATTCACTCACTCAATCAAATCAATCACTAACTCAATCAATCACTCACTTAATCAATCGATCAATCAATTGATCAGTCAGAAAGTCAGTCATTCAGTCAATCAATCAATCTGTCAGAATTATCAATCAGTCAGTCATTCAGTCAAACAATCAATCAGTCAATCATGCAGTCATTCATTCAATTAATCAATCAATCAATAAATCAATCAATCAAGCAAGCAAAGAAATCAAGCAAGCAATACAAACAAACAATCAAAGCTATATAAAACAAGACAAAACAAAGTAAGAACGACTTTCTAAACCTACCCTTTACTTATAAAAAGATTTTTTTTTGCAGAAAATGGAACACTTTGATGGGATAATTAGAGATATTGTGAATATCCAGTCTAACCAGACTCTGGACTCTCCTGACGGGCGGAGCCTCTACTTGTCCTGTGAAGAAGCAGAGTCCAACGAAACAGAGTAACAATGGCGGGCGCTGGGTGTTTTAACTGAGCCGTCAGAGACAAAAAAATCATTTGGATGCTATATGAGTGGTCTTAAATAAATTAATGAAGTTGTTTCTCATTTGACAATGTTAAAAAATGAGGTTCGGGGACCTATTAATTACAAGGTTTATAAAGAATATCTTACATCGAGTTAATAGTATTTAAATGTAAAAAGTAAATCTGTAGTTTATGTTTTCTTCAATTCATTAATTGTTGATTATGTAAAAGTAGATTTTCACTATAATTTTACTTTGTTTGCATTAGCACGTTGTTCATTTTGATAGAGTTTAATAAAATGACATCAACGAATATTTTCTCTATCATTTCATTTCAAAACAATTATCAGAATATCATTTGCAGCAAAAGTAAGATCTAGCTTTTTAATGGCGCAGTAAAATTCTACTACAGGAAGTATAAAATGTATGGTTCGACAATACATTGTCTGTTCAGCTATAATATTAAAAGATAAAACCACGACTAATAAAAATCTGTTCAAAAATGTTTGAGTCTGAAAATAGCTCTTTAAGAAATTGAATTTTGAAAATAATCCCTTCACGCCAAATTTTCAATTTGTTCAACGCATGCTTCAAAGCTATAAAATGACCAAATTCAAAATAATAATTCACCGTAAAAGAAACTTGAATTTACTTATGAATATTTGCATCATTACATTTTGCGTTGGGATTAACGCAAAATGTAATAATACGTTTTTTGGTTGTTACATTTTGCGATACTTAATTTTTGTGTTGAGGACAACCCAAAATATAATAAAACAAATTAGATATAATATTTCTTGTATTATGTTCAACGCGAGACATCACAAAATTGATTTAACCATATATATATAACATTGGTGAAACTCGCTTTACTATATACAAACGCTGACGTATGGGTTGTAAGAAGGCACACCAAGAATAATATTTGGCAATTAGAAAGATTCCCATATTTCAAATTTCAATCCTGCAAGTCTGTGTTGTACCGGAGTCGAGGGAAAATGATGCCCAAACTGCTCACCACACGAGAAGAGTTCAACCTCCTGGATTAATGGACACAGTCCTTAGCTCGTGAGAGATTCCTTTTGTGGGACGATAGAGATGAAGCAGGAATCAGAATAACTGGGTTTCCACTGGTGACAACCTTCATAGACTTTGTGCATCTACAACGTTGTTTAGTGACGAGACTTTCTACTCAACTGTGTTTAGTGATGGGACTTTCTACTCCTCTACATTTCTATTCACCGAGCAATACACTCTGTATGTAGATATTGATGGAACAGTTTTCCCTCTTGTGTATGCCTTGCTTCCAAACATGATTGAAGCAACTTACAGGCGTTTTTTTCCTGTTGAAAACCGCAGTCAACCAAAGCTATTCCGTGTATACACCTGAATCCTGGATGATTGATTTTGAAGCAGTGAAAGAGAACTTTCCAAACACTACTATTCGAGAATGCTTTTTCCACTACACTCAGTGTATTTGGAGGAAAGTACAAAACTGTGGATTAACAACAGAGGCCTGTTTATCAAAACGAGCGCTCGCTAAAATTTCTGTTGGAGTTATATACTAGTATAAGTAATCCTGGCGAGCGCTTGCGAACGTTCTCTCTGTTGAACAGGCCTCTGAGTTTAAAAAGAATGAGGAGTTCCATAGACTTGTGGTTAGAGCTGCTGTCCTCCCTCTGGTTCCAGATCTCCGTGTTGGAGATGTGTGGTTCGATCAAAGTCCTAGAGGACAATGAATCCAGTATATAGAGTATAAAGGTAGGGTAGATGGAAGGCACATTGGTTGACTTGAATGTCAAAAGTATTCAATACTGAAAATGATTGTGATGAGCTTTATCCCAAGACAGTCGACTGTGAATATAGATTGGATTTTAGACGTAGAGAATTAAAATCAAAATCTTATCGCCTAAGAAAGATCCCCTTCTTTCAATCGTTCAAGTCTGTGTTGTACTGATTAGAGGGAAAATGATGCCCAAACTGCCTACCACACAAGGAAAAAATCAACCTCCAGGATCCATGGACACAGACCTTACACAGGCAATTTTGCCACATAGTGTAGATTTCTTATTATTTCCCGAGTACTTATTATCGCGAAATGACTCTTTTACATAAAATCACGACAATAATAATTCGCGAATGTACGGTTGATAACGGGAATTAACATGAATCTCAGCACCATAAAAATAAAAGCGAGTGATTTTATTTCGCTAGTGATGCTTCTCGCGAAATTATGCGATAATTAATCCCTCGCGTATAATTAGGAATTTACAGTATCAACCACATATACATTGCCTTTCATAATGAGGATCATGTGTGGATCATGTGAGAATATAGAATTGAAGCAGGAAACAGAATGTGTTTGCCACTGAGACTTTGTGCGTCTACAACTGTTTAAAGTCAGGACTTTCGACTCCGGTGTGTTTGGTGATGGGACTTTAGAATTTCTAACTACCCCTGTACATCTCTATTCACCCAGCCATACACTCTGCATGCAGATGTTGATGGAACAGTTTTTCCATCTTGTGTATGCCTTGCTTCCCAACAAGACTGAAGTAACTTACAGACGCCTTTTTTCCCTTTTGAAAACCGCAGTCAACAAACGGCATGTGCGTACACCTGAATCCTGGATGGGCAACCAGAAATGCAGTAAAAGAGAACTTCCCAAACACAACCATTCAGGGATGCTTTTTCCACTACACTCAGTGTATTTGGAGGAAAGTACAAAACTGTGGATTAACAACAGAGGCCTGTTCATCAAAACGAGCGCTCGCAAACATTTCTGTTGGAGTTTTATACTAGTACATGTATAAGTAATCCTGGCGAGCGCTTGAGAACGTTCGCTCTGTTGAACAGGCCTCTGAGTTTAGCAAGAAGGAGGACCTCCATAGACTTGTGAGAAGAGTTGCCATTCTCGCTCTGGTTCCAGGTCCCCGTGTTGGAGATGTGTGATTCCAAGTCTTAGAGGACAATAAATCCAGTATAAGGTAAGGGAGATCGAAGGCACCTTGGTTGACTTGAATGTTAAAAGTATTCAACACTGAAATATAATTTTGATGAGTTTCATCCCATGATATTGTTACCAGCCTTATCAACTGGAACCATAATATATTATTTATGTGATCTTTCTATTTTGTTAACCACCTCTATAGCTTTACGAAATCAAAAGGAAAGGTGGTTCGCATATTGCCCTTTAAATTCATATTTATAACTCTTTTAGATTGTGCTAAAACAATTCCTCCGGGTCAGAGTCTTCCCCTTTTCGTATTCAGCCAATATTCTTCGAAAGAATTCATTATAGAATGCATCCATTGTGCAAAGTTTTCCACGTTTCCAACTATTGTTGATGTCCTGTCATACCCAACAAACTAGAAAGTGATTCCTTAAATATATTATTGACTGATTTTAAACATTTTGTAAATACAGGTAACATGAACTTAGAAAATGTAATGAAGATAATCCACGGCAGCGCACTTATCTTTCTCATTCAAAGAATGCAGAAGTTATCTATTCCAGTAATTCATACAGTTTAATCAACTATGCAATAGTTTAAAGGTATACACTTATTAAAAAAACCAGTATACTATATACAAGGGTATACCTGGATAAACTTCTACTTTCGTTTTAGCTTGTATGGATTGTTGACTTCAGATAGTTATACCCAGCATAAATTTTACTTTGGGAGTACCTGTGTGACATTTTCCAAACAAAAACTCTTTGAAGGTAAGAGTACTAATTGTAATTATGGTAGATTTCCTTTTAGTTAACTTCTATATTTTTATTTTACGCCCTGTTTAAACTAGCCAAAATCACTGATACCTGTATGTGCTTGCAGGTAATTTGATTCTTACAGCCTGAGTTGTTTTTATCTGTTTTTAGATACTCTGCATGGTTAAGATTTTGCTTATTGTGTTGTGTCAGTGCTATATGCAAGGTATATAAAATCTAAAATACATTCTGAAAAGTAATTATTCAGACGTTTTAACTAGATAAAAAATTTGAAATATTTGCGTATATATGAAATCAAGGTATATAACTACAACTTTTTACAGTGACAATTTCTAAAATACATTTTAATCAATATTTTGAAAAGTATATTTTACTTTTTACATTTAATCTTAGAATACATATACCATAATGATATGATATATATCCAGACTTTTTTAACCATGTTTATAGAATACTATGTTTTGCTGACCAGAAAAAAAAATTTGAAATATTTGTTTTAGTATATTTGAAAAAATTTAAACATCCTCGTTGTCAAATTGAACAAGCAAAATAGTGTCAAATGTTATAATATAGATGTGCAGATTGAAAAATCATGTTGATGTATATTTTCCTATAAAGGATCTATTATGCCGTTCGATTTTTTCTTTTTTTTTCTTTTTGACAGATGCATAGCTGAAATATAAGCTCGATGTCTTTCAACAGCTTTTAAAAAGCTAAGATGAGTGTTATGTTTTGATACAACAATTTAAAGGATATGGCTTTGTAAAGGTAAAATTTCCATGTATAAACACATCTATATTTTGAAAAAGCTCAAAATGGTGCTTTTCTGATTTTGAAAGCGTTTCTGAAAGTAGAAAATACCACGTTGATTAAGTAATATTATTTATACTGTTGTATTTATAAATTGGTTTTTATAAAAGCTACAGGTTCCGTTGTCTCAAAATGGCTGAAAAAGACTATTTAGCAGTTGTCGCCATCGACATAGGAAGTGCTTTCTCTGGATATGCTTATCAGTTTAGAACTGATTTCAAGAAGGACCCCACTAAGAATATAATAAGCCCCCACTGGCAGGGGGCATCAAACTTAATCATGGGAAAAACTGCTTCCTCCCTACTGCTAAATCCGGATAGAACATTCCATTCTTTTGGGTAAGTTTATAATTGTTATTTGATATCAAAATTGTGATAACAAGAGTATGTAAATGGCATGCTGTAAATTTCTAATTTCCTGGGTAACAATATAATGTAGTTACCTTGCTGCCTAAGAAATAAACAATATCTGAAGATAAATTCTGTAAGTAAACAAGACAGTCATATTATTTCAGGTTTGAGGCAGAGAAAAACTACACACGGAT